AATTCGTGAAAAATATGTCTCGCTGATAAAGAGTCAACGGCTATCTCGCGAAAATAAGGTGTCGCAAAGTTTTAGTGATCTACAGTAACTCTCAAGAATTTCAAGTCATGTCCGTTCCAATCTGTATTTCATAGTCCAGTATCAAAGTAAGATTCATAGGTTCTGGAAAAATGTGGCATTTCAGCATGTGATTTGCCATGATACATTATCTTGATGCTGAATTGTACTGGTACATGTAATCTACTGAGGTATTAATATTTCTGCCTGTTTTCTTTGTGTTCCAGCAATTCCTACAGATGATGGCTGGAGATGAGGAGGAACATGCAGTTCTACTGGCCAACTACTTCATGTACATGAAGAAGACAACTTGGCTTATCATTGGTAAACTTATCATGACTTACTTGTCAATTATCAGATATATGAATTTAGGAAAAAAAAATAAATTAAGGATATTAAATAGAAGCTTCAATATTGAGATTAAAATGCATAAATAAAAATAATTTGGAATAACAGTTTACTGTTATATAACAATAGTATTCAAGAAAATAATTTTGAAGCCATGGATGTTTCAACTGTAAAGATGTTATTTCTTTTTTTTTTTTTGGACAAATTATTAACTTTGCTTAAAATTTCTATAATTGATGTCCATGTTAGTGTTGAGATACCTGTCGTCAAGGTAATTATTTCTTCTGCCTTATTCAGGAAAAGGGATCCCTGAGGGCCCCACAGCTTATGTGATGACAGAGCAGGAAAATGATTACTGGATCTGGAATGCTGGGACTGGCGAACATTTCAGTTACCATGACAGCTACTGCCCTCTACAGTCTATAAGCTGCTTGATCAATGCAGAAAATGTGGGTCCACGGATTTCTAGAATTTAAGGATAAAAAAGTAATGTTTTATTATTAACTTAATTGGGCAACAGTTCATTTAACTCTGTATTTGAATATTTGTTGTAGATATGGGGAAATATTCAACAATATGAAAAACCTGCACAGATGAACTTTGACCTTTCTCAAGGTTCTTCTTGGAGGCCATTTTTCTCCCGCAGTTTTCCTAACACAGGCATAGCAAGCTATCAGGTATTGTTGTTACCGTGTATTTGGATATTTTTTGGCTACCATACATTGATTGAAACAGTTTTCACAAGATAAATTCATATTTTTATACTCTGACAAGGATCACATCATTTCATGTAGAACAGGATAAAATGAGGGTGCAAATGAACAATATCTACCATACTTTTGCTATTCTTACTGCTTCTTGGACAAGAGATCCATGGTCCTTCAAGGTCATCTAAGCATCATGATGGACTCCATCTTACGGCACATCTCTATATAAACCCTCCTTTTTATGATTTAATAAAAATATTTTTATGCATTTCTTCAACCATGATTGAAGTAATTTGAACAAGAATCCTGAGTTTAAAGTGTACTGGTAATGTTAAATTAAAACTACCTTTCAGCCTGAGAGACTTTACTATAAACCCACCAACAAGAACGCAGTTCTTGACCTTCAAGAGAAAATTGAGACTCTGCTGAAGAACAAGATAATGGAATGGAGGAGTCGGCTAATTACCCGCTGGAACCGGCACTGTACCCAGATCATGAGAAAACTCCTCCCTGTGTAAGAATTCTTATTCAGTAGTATTTTTTCTATCATCTGTTTGTTTGCTTTTTTTCTTTTGGGGTTGGGGTGGGGGTAGCAGCACAGCTCAGATAAAAAGGATCTTTTCAATTAAGTCAACTGCCGGTAGATCTCAAAAAAATTATGTGTCTGAGAAAGGATTAATGATTTGTTTGAGAATAAGTTATGCCCACAGACATTGTGTAGTTTCATAATCCACATGGCTACATTGTAATAAGAAGGAATTAATGATATGCCAGTTTTTGCTATATAAGTAAAAGATGTTGATGTTATTCCTCCATTTCATAGCAAGGATATATGAATTATTTTTATTATTACAGTTTGGAAAATAATCTTGGCCGTAACCCAGGTGAGCAGTATCTTTCGGAGTTGGAGAGCTCGTTCTCCTCCTACAAAGTGTCTGGCTTCCCCATTAACATGCCGTACAGTGAGATCACGTCCATTGTGGATGCCGTGTTCTCCACGCGAGTCCACGCTCACGAGACCAGTGATGTGGAATTCGCCTTGGCGGTCTACATACACCCCTACCCTAATGATGTCTTATCAGTGTGGGTCTACGTGGCCTCACTGATTAGAAATCGATGATTAAACCTCTAAAACAGCTGTTTTTGAATGACAGGGAGATATTAGGATTTGTTATCAGACTGTGATATAAAAGATTTATAGTGCATTTTATTTAATCATGAGAGAAAGTGTATTTTAGTGCGTACTTTAATTGTTAATGTATGTTTCATATCCGTCCAGTGATATTTGTTTAAGATCATGAATAAATGTGATAAATTCATGAATAGATAGAAGCGATATTTGGCCTTGTCTTTATTCTGAAGTTCTTCCTGTGTGTTTAAATTGAGAAGGAAGCAATCAAATTGTAAGTTGGCTGAGATGATAGACTGTGTGGAAGAGAAATTCAATTTTCAATTTCAATCAGATCTCTTTTTAGATCACCTGAACTATAGATTGTCCAAATTATAGCCTCCCAGTTTCCGGGTTGAGAAAGCAGTTCAAATTGAACCTCAAATGTACAAGGAAAACATCTCTGACATCTTATGTAGAGCTTTTTTTTTCGGGGGGTGGGGAGGTACATTTTAAACATCTCCTAGTTAAGGATATCCTCCCCTCATCCAGGAACAATTACATTTAAATTTATTGATTCATTATGTCTTTCACTAATTAACAAATTTGTACATGACTCATCAAAAACTTCACCCAATATTGCCGACCTATGACCTTGCTCGGATTCACGAGAAGTAATCTCTATGCGCTAGACCAACAATGATGGATAAACAAAAAAAGACAAAGACAAACATGTTTTTTAATACATCTTTGATTATGTTTATTATATCTGAATATTTAACACAACATCTAACAATTATTATATGAATTTCTACTCACCGACATTTTTGTCGGTGAATTGTCCATTCGGCGAATTTGCACGCGTCGGTGAATTTCACTTTTGTCGGTGACCTGTCTTTCGGTGAGTTGTCTGGCACCGGACTCATTGGCAATTGAAAATTGTTCATTAGCAATTTTTTTTAATTTAAAAAGTCTATAAATGTAATTTGAAATTGAAATCCATTAGAGCAATAATTTTTATTACATTCATCTCAATTTGATTTAGGGATCTTTGAAGCCTGAGGAACGGTCTTGTAAAAAGTTAAAATATCTACCGCAAAAATACGAACAGAAATAGGATATCCTTCCATCTAGATTTAGTTTTACCAATCTTAAATACTTGGCTTACGGAATAGTAACTAGTACGGTTTTAAAAATCGCAGAAAAGCAGTTATGTTTTCTTTTTCGCGGAAAAGCAGTAGGGATTTGCAGAAAATCTACTTCAAGCAAAGAGAGGTCATTTCTTGAATTGATGGTAAAAACTGGTTCGTGTAACTGAACGAATTCTATAACCTTGTAATTTATTGACACAATTTCTGATACATCTGTTTGTTGAGATATGTTTTGAAAAATGCTACTCAATGAGCAGTGTTTATCGTGGACATATTATATATTGGCATCCTTAATTATAGATTTTCATATAACGGCAAAATACGTTTTATTTGGTGCAGTTTGGTTTGTTAACGATTTTTCAACTGTCTGTTGCCTTTGCAAGGATGACAATAAAATATGGAGCAAATTATTGGAAGTTAGTTGTCAATGATCCACTGAAAGACTAGATTTACATGTTAACCTTAACATATTTTAAGAAGAAGAAAAAACAGACAAACAAATGAAAGAAAGGAAAGGAAAAAATGAAAGAAAAGAAAGGAAAAAATGAAAGGAATAAAACTTAAAATAAAACAAAAATAATATTAAGAAATAAAATAAACATATAGTTCGGCAGAAGAAGAAGAGGGTTGATTTTTTTTTTACATTTCTAAGTATTTTATAATCTTTAAAATCTATATTTGCTCACTGGATTACTGATAATTTTATGTAAATATACCTCAAGTAATTTAAACCATGTAGAATTTCAATAGTTTTTATTGCCTGCTTTATGATGAAACACTAACGATTTCTTGCTATTCGAAAACAAGCAATGGAGAGGAAACTGAATATCTAGTGCATTGACTTTAAAAGAGCAGATTTGATGTTTATGGCCATTTATCTGTATACTTATGCTTCAGAAGACTCGAGACTTGATGAAGCTTATATTCCGATTCATTAGGTCCGTGGCCACTTGGGTCTGCTTGGTGACAAAATGGGGAGATTACAAAATTGATTTCTGGCCTCAGAAAAAGTTATTGAAACAATCCACCAATATTTGCTAGCTCATTTAATCTGTTGATTCAACGTTGCTTTCTATAGGTATGCCATTTTAAACTCTTACCCAAACACCGGAAAGACCCTGTGCTTAACATGAATCAATATTAGATATTGAGTTTTTTTTTTAAGAATGCAGATAGGACCGAATTTCTTTCAAATTTATTTATTTTCCGCTGCATTCGGTTTTAGTCATTTTTATTCATATGGTAATTGATGAGAAATTGATTGAGTTTGAGAAACAGCCATCGTTCTAGGAGACAATACCCTCACTACCAAAGTGAACACAGCGACAATTAGTGGCGGTTATGTGGTGTTTTATCCATATTTGATAAGTTGTTGGGTTATAGATACATGGTTACGTGCCCATATATATGGCCAGGCAATTAACGAACTGATAGGCAGAATGTACAGATCTTATGAGCTCTACCTAGCGGTGATATTCGACACAGATAATTAAACACCCCATTGGGGGTACTTGGGTCGATCACAGCCTTAACGATATTGGAAGGTGTTAATTTGTGGTCGACACTTAAAGAGGAAGAATTAAATTTTTTTATTTTATTTTTTTTTTTTGGTAACTTTTCGAGGAGGAGACAAGATGTCAAAATTTATGTTTCATATAAGATTTTCTTGTGAGGAGGATTATCTTCACCAGCACGAACTTTATGAGATGCTGAGATCGAGGAATTTATATCAGGTGCAATTTGATTTGAAGAAGAGACTGGAAAAGCGCATTCGGTCCATAGAGCAGGCAGAGAAGATGCAAATCGCAACTTCTCAAAGCAAGAAAACTATGTTTCTTCACACAGTTAAAGAACGGATAAAGAAGAGAAACCGATTTGGAGAAAGATACAAACGCCATTTTTCAATGGGGGACGTGGAGGAGGGAGCAGATGAGGCATCCAGAACTCCCCGAATACAGCCCAGGCAACAAAAAGATCCACCGAGAACAGACGAAAGAGAAATCTCTAGAAGTCAAACGGCACCAGAAATGGGAGTGCCAAAATCATTTAAGGAAGTAGAGCCCCCATTGGAAGAAGAAGTTACGTCATTGAGACGCAACGTCACATTTTGCGGAAAATCGTTTCCGATGGCAAAAAGCGCAAAACGCCGCTCGAGACCTCAGCATCTTCAGTCAGTTGAAGAAGATAAAGAGATTGTAGAACCAACAGAGGATGGACACAACAGTGGAAGTGATTTACGCTTACCAGACATAAAGCAAGAGACCCCAAAAAACGACGAAGGAAGAAAAGAACGTACATTGTCTCCCGAAAAGCTGGCTGTTGTGAAAAATATGTCTATGTATGAGTCCGGCGTTACGGCACCGGACGGTCGCCTGATACTATCTAGGGAGGACTATGATGAATTCATTGACCAGTACCGTCAGGCGCAGAAGAAATGGCTCAAAAAACAGAGACGAAAGAGTGAAAGTCTAGAGGAGAAAATTAAAAACTTTAAAATTGTGGACGAAGAACCGTCGTATTGACGCGCAGTTCTTCTAACCTTAAATTTTTACATATTTACCCGAGTGATTATGGCTTTCATTCGAATCATTGGAACAATTTCTTGTGTATTTAGTGTCTTTTACTTTCTTCATAATGGTTGAAGGCCAGGACTCCTTATCGGTATACTTCATGCCAATTAAAAGGAATTATTCGCCACAGGAATAACAGATACAGGGATTTGAAAGTGTTTATATTCACATTAACGATTGATTGAAACTTTTTGTCACGTACTTTGTCTTAGTTTAGCAAACAGCAAGCTGCAATTTGCTGTACATTTGTGAAAGGAGGATCAAGGTTAAAATTCGGCTAAAAGAGACGTTAAAAAAACAAATTTATTTCCAAAATTTTGATAACAAAAAGGTCTGGCGATGCCATTAAAAATTATTTCCAAAATTTTGATAACAAAAAGGCCGAGGACAATAATTCATCAATATGCAAGTAATATCATGTGCCGCTTTTCGCAGCTTTTGTATAGATCTTGATCCTATTGCCAATGTCAAAATTAAAGGGAAAAGTTTGTATTTCAACGTGAAAAAATAAAATGGCAAAATAATTACCTGGCTATTGTTGAATGATTAACGACACAATAAAGTTTTAATTACGAACGATTAAAATCAAGATTAAACTGATCAAACGTCAATTTACTACGTACAAACAGCATATTTAATGTTGTCATTTAAAAATAGTTTGTATTAGTTCATTTCCATTACACCGAACATAAACACATTTTTTATTAAACTGATTACAAACAACATTTTCTTAATAACAGCTAGATTAATAAAAGTGGGTCGGCGGATGGATTTTTAATTTTTGCGAAGTTTATTTGTTTAATATATACATTGTATTTATTACTAGCAACATTACATTTTTCTTTAATGTGACAACTCGATTCACAGCAACAAAAATGGGGGGGGGGGGGGCAAAATTCGTACCCAAAGTACCATGTTATCCCCTGATTTTATTTGTCCACAAACAAATCTTCAACTAGATGTCTCTGAAGAAGCTGTAGCTCTCATAAAAAAGGGAGAGAAGAAAAAAAATAATTTTTACTTGAAACATTTTTTAAGCTTTTTTTTCAATCAAGTTAAATAAAACTACAAGAGGCCCCTGGGCCTTATAGGTCACCTGAGCATTATTCAACAACTTCCCAGTGACTGAATTTGATCCATGTTTTAAGCCAGATGCTATAACATTAACAATCTGGTCATCATACTATACACTTAGCAGTTCCTTAATTTGGTTACTTTATACCCATAGGCAGGGTAGGGGAACAAAAAATGCATTTCAACTAATCAGTAATATTCAGCAATAATCAGTAGTGCCGCTACCACATATGAACCCTTGACTCTTAGGCCTAGATCCACACATTGCACTATTTTTGGAAAGGCATACTTGCTTTTCAAAAATATTTGATTAATACCAAGGAGCACATTTCAAACAATTCATTCATTTTCAGTACATAAGAACAGCCTCTCTCTCCCCCCCCCCCATTATGGTACAACTGACCCTGGGGCCTTGAAATTTACAATTTTTGAAGATTAGGGATTGCTCATAACTATAAAGGTAATTCATCTGCTTAAAACCTAGGAGCAAAGAAGAAAATATTCAAAGATTTAATGTTTTTTCACTATATATGTATAATCAATACAGCCCCGCCCTAACACCAGAATCCCTGACCCTGGGGCCATAAAATTCACAATTTTGGCAGAGGCACTCTTGTTCATCATAACTATGTACTTAGTTAGTTTATCTAATACTCAGGAGTAAAGAAGATTTTCAAAGAATTCATGTATTTCCTCTATATAATCAATAGAGCCCCACCCTGACACCAGAACCCCTGACCCTGGTGCCATAAAATTCACAATTTTGGTAGTGGCACTCTTGCTCATCATAACTATGTACTTAGTTTATATAAAACCTAGGAGCAGAGAAGAAGATTTTCAAAGAATTCATGTATTTTCACTATATAATAAATAGAGCCCCGCCCTAAAACCAGAACCCCTGACCCTGGGGCCATAAAATTCACAATTTTGGTAGAGGCACTCTTGCTCATCATAACTATGTACTTAATAAAATTATATAAAATCTAGGAGCAGAGAAGAAGATTTTCAAAGAATTCATGTATTTTCACTACATAATCAATAGAACCCCGCCCTAACACCAAAACCCCTGACCCTGGGGCCATAAAATTCAAAATTTTGGTAGAGGCACTCTTGTTCATCATAACTATATACTTAGTTAGTTTATTTAATACCCAGGAGTAAAGAAGAAGATTTTCAAAGAATTCATGTATTTTTACTATATAATCAATAGAGCCCCACCCTAACACCAGAACCCCTGACCCTGGGGCCATAAAATTCACAATTTTGGTAGAGGCACTCTTGCTTATTATAACTATGTACTTACTTGGTTTATTTAATACCCAGGAGCAGAGAAGAAGATTATAAAAGAAATAATGCATTTTCACTATATACTTATTTAGCCCCGCCCTAGCACTAGAACCCCTGACCCCAGGGCCATGAATTTCACAATTTTTGTAGAGAACTCAATGCTGATTACAATCATGCAAATAGTTTGACTGCTTGATGTCCAGGAGTAAAGAAGAAGATTTTTAAAGATTGCATTAATTTTAGTGGTTTTGGCCCCACCCCTCAAGCCCCAGGGGGGCAGGGAACATGAAATTCACAATTTTTGTTCCCCTTCATCCATAGATGCTTTGTGCCAAATTTGGTTGAAATTGGTTCAGTGGTTGCAGAGAAGAAGCTGAAAATGTTCAAATGTTAACACACGACGCACACCGCACGACGCACGACGACAGACGAAGACAGATAGCAATAGGTCACCTGAGTTTACTCAGGTGACCTAATAAGGAAGAATTTCATTTTTACAGGTTATAACACTTCATTCTGAGTAGCTATGGTAAAGCCAAATTGAATGAATAGATCGTGCCAGTTTCACACGCTGTTAAAATTTAATTAAATCAAGGGGAAAAAATACTGGAGGGGTTTTAATAGAATTTCATACATGTACAATGTTCCACTAGTATTTTCATTAACCTCTGTAATTTATGTCCACGGTGAAGTAAACATGTTTGGAGTTTTATTGTAAGTATCGAGTGGACAAATCGATAGAAGTAGGGCTTGAACGAATCTATAGAAATTAATACTATACTAAGTAAATGGCAATCATATTCTGTTCAAATCAAAAAAGCAATATGGGGAATTATTTTAAAACTATAATTCTACTTTTGTATTAAGTTTTATTGAAATTGTACAAACAAACTTTTGATAAAATTGCGTTTTGAACCACAGATATTCTTATACACGTATTTAATAGCCATGGCAAATCGTACATTCGTCGAAATCAAAAAGTGATACTAATGTACAGAATTATGTATCTGGAATGAGCTTTTGACGTTTTTCATTCACATGTCGATTTATCCCAGTGAACTCAAAATAAAACACCACAGATTCAAATTCATATTTAAGTGTTTTTATGACTGGAGACGATAAGAACCAACTAACAACTAAACGGCGTAAAAATGCTGCTGACAAATAAATTGATATAACAGGGATTTCAATAACCTTGTAACTCAGCATCTCATAAATTCAGTACAATAATAATAATAATGATTGTTTTTATATAGCGCTTTTCTAGCATAAATGCTACTCAAAGCGCTTTACAATACATTATTACCCCAGCAGACCATAACAATCCAGAATCTTCCTCTGTGCAAGCTGCCGTTAAGGCGCTAGAACACTAACATTCTTACAATATCTTTCACTGTCTATAGCCAGGTACCCCTTTTACACTTAGGTTGAGTATGTCGATATAATGACTTTGTTAGATAATACAATCTATGAATGGGTCGTTTTTGTTGGCATATTTCATACCAATTGTTAATTGTTTTAATTTAAAGCTGAACACGATTCGTAAAAAGAATTTGTCCGCCATATTTGTTCGAGCTCGCTATATCTGCAAGCCCCTATAAATTGAGACGGCCACTTAGACACTGTTCAGTGTAATAAATTGTCACCGGTGTACATGGACGTATGCTATGCAATACTGCAGTAGCGACAAAAAATAACTGTTTACTTCCTCCAATGCAGGAAAGTAAGATACCAAAGACACTTACAACAGTTGCACAGGTCAGTACAGTATACGAACAAATACAAAAAATATTCGTAACTGCAATAAAATGTAAACAAGGTAATGCAAGATAACCAGCACGAACACGGGTCGCCTTTCCATGTCGATACCCGTGACAATAAAACAGTCAGGTGTAACGAATGCGGAGAGTATATATACCTTGGCGTTGATGTATCGTTGGTAATGGTAACGAAAGTGGCGCATAGGCGTTGGAACCGGAGGGGGGGGGGCTACCCCTCCCCCACTTTTTTTGCAAACATAGACTTAGTATAGACAATGCACATTGCGGCGTAGGTTTAGCCCCCCCCCCCACTTTTCACTGACACGTTGCAGTTTAGGTAAAACATGGGAAAAGGGGTAGTGTTTGGGAAAAAAAGTTGGTACTGAAGGAGATCAACCCCCCCACGAAATAGGCTTTTTGTGGTTTGGCAAAGGAATTAATTTTCCTTTTTTTTGGAGTTAGGCGTATGCCTAATTACAAGTCGTGTTCAGCTTTAAACTTGAATATGGATTAATCAGACTATACTTGGTTAGTATAGGGTTAATCGCGGTTGTGATAAGGATGCTACCTCCTTCTAGGCGCCTGATCCTACCTCTTGAGTTTTCAATGTTACGCGTTTTATGCTCTTTTTTAGAAAAAATGTTTATTTTGTTTTTTTTTTCATATCACCTAAAGTATTTCAATATAAGTAGTTGTCAGTAAGCGCTTTACTGCCCGTTGTGGAATTCCATCCATTCGGTAATGCATTCCAACCAGGAGGTAATGCATTTTATGTTGATCTTGTCAAAACATCTTTATATAATACTTCTACTGTCTAATGGGAGTCGTTGAACCATCCAGTCAAAGAATAGTAGATTAAAAATTGCCACTGCGAGTAAAAAGATGCGTCACTGCCATACCCAGGACAGCCTTTTTTCTTACTTTAAACCCAGAAATGTGGGGAGAACACTTCGATAATATAATAAATCAATGTACATATTATGTTGTTAGAAATACATGTACTCTTCTCGGAAGAAACCAAATTAAAAACTTTGTATGCATAGCATGACAGCAGCGATTTAATGTTTCTAAGGAATTAGCCATACATTACTATTAAATTTGTATTTAATTAAATTTTCATATTGCATACGTTCCTGTTTCCATGACAACGACAGCCATTATGAAAATTATAAATGCAAGCACTAGACTTACAGGCACGCAGTTTTGAAATGTGGATAAGTGGCGTCGTTTTTGACAAGGGGGGGGGGGGGGGGGGGGGGGGGGCTAAAAATAATTGACAACTTACCTGCAAAATTAATTTGTTACCTCTGCAAAGAAAATGAAAACATAGGTAATTAAAGATTATGAAGCTCACTTCGACGAATGTTATCAGTTTAAGTAATGCAAATCTCACATCATATTTTCTTAACAGTTAGTATTTATCCTGAAAACAATATTCAAGGAAGTTCAGTTTAAATAGGTCTTAAAGTTCATTGGGGATTAATCTGTTCCAAAAACTTTAATCTGCTTACTCGTTTGGAAAATGTAGGTCAGATCCAGCATCCCAAGCAAGTTTTGATTGTCCACCCTTAGATGAATCATCCATGCGAGTTTGGTCCGGGTAGGGCTTACAGTTTATTGGGATTAACCTAGTCACTCATGTGGAAAATGTAGGTCAGATCCAGCACTCGAAGCAAGTCTGGTAGTGTCCATCCCTAGACGCATCATCCATGCCAGTTTGGTCCGGGTAGGGCTTATAGTAACTTGGGAATAGTCCTGCTCCAAAAACTTTAACCTGGTCACTCATCTGGAAAATGTAGGTCTGATCCAGCATTCGAAGCAAGTCTGGTAGTGTCCAGCCCTAGATGCATCATCCATGCAACTTTGGTCCGGTTAGGGCTTATAGTTACTTGGGAATGGACCTGCTCCAAAAACTTTAACCTGGTCACTCATCTGGAAAATGTAGGTCAGATCCAGCATCCAAAGCAAGTTTAGTAGTGTCCATCCCTAGGTGCATCAACCATGCAAGTTTGGTCCAGGTAGGGCTTATACTTACTTTGGAATGGACCTGCTCCTAAAACTTGAACTGGGACGCCGACGCTAACGCCGATGGTATAGCATAAGCTCATCTCAACTTTGCCGAGGTGAGCTAAAAATGAAAAGAAACTGTTGGTGGACTGACCAGCAGACAGTATTGAAGCAATATGCCCTCCGTTCTTTGAAAAAGGGGGGGGGGGGGCATCTTCACTAGCCAAGTTTCTGATATGCTACTCTCCTCATGTAAACATGAGGAGAGTAGCGTATCAGAAACCCTTGGCTAGCGAAGATGAGGGGGGGGGGGGCATAAAAAGCATGTTGCATTCAAATTTTGTAACCAAGTAAAATTTACGTTTTCTATCATATTTGTAAATAAAACACACTGTACCTAATATGTAACACCTGAAACAATTTTAAAGTATGCAGCCTTAGAGGATCATATTTCACTTCTTCTGCCAGATCCAAACTCTAAATGAATACATGGTAAAACAAATTAAAACACTTTAGCATCATGTATCAAATTTATTGTAACAGCCTGACACAATAACTGAAGACATTCTTGGAATGAATAACAGACACATGAACAATACTTCAAACTGATCAGGATCATCAAATACATTTATATCTCAAAAAAATCAGTGATTAGACTCCAAGTACAACTACCTAACAAAAATCAAAAGGAAATTTTATTTTTTCAGACAAAATGGAAAATTAAGTTGTTTTTATTTTCAAGGTGTGTTTTTCCCTATATTAAAATGATTCTTGAAATTTTATTCATAAAATAAAAAAAATTCAAAGTACATAAAAAATATTTTCAAGTAATTTTTTTTTTTTCAATTATTCAGATATAATTTTTACTTCAAATTACATAAAAACTTTTTTCAAGTAATATTTTTAATATATTCAGAAATAATTTTTACTTTAAAATACAAGATGTCAATCCTGAGAATTCTTGACATTTTCTATTAAATTGTTTATACAATTTTAGGCAATAATTAACAACAAATTGTCTTTTTACAACCAAGACATTTTTTTCATTTCCTCTAAAAAATGAATTGAGTAATAGTTTATGCTGGTCTTTCAATGATAAAATGCACTTTAATCACATTCTATAAGCAACAAGAATTGAAGATGAGAAGTTCAAGGCTCAAAAATTATGGCTATAAACACAATTTTCTGCTTTGACTTCTCAAACTTTGAATTTTGAAGAAAACCATAGAAATTACGATAGAGCAGAAGCTTAATTAACTTTATAAACATTTACTTTCTTGACACACATGTATAAATTTAAAATACATCCATGTTTAAAATGAAATGTTGGCCAAGGTAATTGATGATTTCAAATACAGACAATGTGCTGTAACAATTCCACTTATTTCACAAAGACTTGCACAAAAATACCAGTATATAAACTTGGGAGAATCGATCCTTTACATTTAATTAAGACAGTTTATTTTTCTTTTTACTAAATAAATGCATCATATATCTCTATTAATTGAAGATGAGCAGATTAATTACTAGTACTTTCTATTAATGACAGACGAACAGTCTTGCAATATATACATGTATGTATCTAACTTTTGTAGAGTTACAATGGATCTTGACCTTGACAAATTTCTGACTAGTGAGAATATCATAAGGTATGGGCAATCTAAATAATTCATTTTTATATATAAATCTATGTGTAAAGGGAATTTTGTTAAATAAAAGAGATAAAGAGAATGATCAATATAAATTACTTAAGAAGAAAAGTACCGGTATTTCATGATACTGGTAATTTTACACATAATGAAGCTTTGAAACCTCCTAACATGAAATACAGTAAAACCTCAATATTTGGACAATATACATTTTATTAGATATCCCAGATTCAAGGTTAAAATTCAAGGAAAAATAGTGGCTTAGACTTTTAACTCCAACATATCCATGGTACTCTAGATATCAATGTTCAAGATACCAAGGTTCAACTTTATACGTAAAATATTTATTCATGTATTTGATTTGAACTAGTTTATTAGGTAATAAAACATTAATGGATGGGGCAGCTGGCTTTGCCTTTACATTGTATAAGGCTTTTCCATATAATATTTGTTGGGTATTTCAATAATTACCATCAAGTTTTCCCCTATAATAAGTAATGAACTGAAAAAAACATCATATCTAGCGAACATTATACACAGATGATAGAAGATTATATTCCCATATAAAAATCAGACTACCAGGCAATAGAACAGCATTATGTATGCATGCACCACCTATTACAATGACAAAATTCTCAACACACCTTGCATACATAAAGAAATAATTAGCTGCTGCTGCTTCAAAATTTGCATTTTTATCTTATTCTTAAAATAAAAATCTAACTAAAATGAACACCTGTATAATTATAACAATCAACAAAAGCAAAAAAAAGCACTTTGTAAGCAATACTAATTCATAACAAAAAAAAAGATATTTACAGAATAGGTACAACAATTAAAGTCAATCAGTTAGATCTGACTCGTATCAATGTTTATCACAATAGAGTTGAGTATCACACGTCCAGGGAATTTTTGAACACCATAAGGCTGTTGTAAATCTTGATTGCTGGTCCTAACTTAATGTTTAAAATCTTGACCAGGTCTGTTTGAGAAATCAACAAGAAAGCCTCTCCATCTATTTGCTGTAAAGACATCAAACAAAATTGAAATAAATTTAGAAACTTTCAATCTTCTCATTTTATGTCTTATGGTCTATAACTTTGTGGAATTTTGGCATTTTGAAGATTCATATTGGAAGAATAGTTGATACTTGTTCAAATTTTACAATTCACATTAATATCAATGTGTGTCACAATATCATTCAGAAAAAAAATGTTATGTATATGCTAAACTGGGCTTTCAATAGAATTGATTCCATGAGTTGCCAAAATAAACAGGTCTTACAGGGGTTAATCCATTGTAATTCAAATCTACATATCCTAAAATCAATGCACAGAGTTCCAGTTGTCAAAAATGTTTTGAGAAAACTTATCATTCTCAACCCATCTACCCCAGCCCCAACATGAATTGATATTTTGGGTAGAAAGCATATACTTGCAACCTAACAAATCAATTTCAATTGGTACTTTTTTCAGTGCAACTCCATTAAATTCTCCAAAAATTGTGCCAGAGTAGATCTATTCTATATTGCTATGGGTCTCATCCAAAAGACAAAAGTTGCAGCTGGGATTCAGCCCAAGACCTTTCCAATCATGGAGCGAGCACTCTACTGACTAAGCTACCATGAAGGTTAGAATTTTAGGAAAATTTTACTCATTATTAATTATTAATGTACATACCCTTTCATTCTCTTTCAGAAATATAGTAGGTTAAGGAATTTGTTACAAACAAACTGATAGATGAATGAGATTTAATGTCCTTTTGCTTTTGCAAAAACTGGGGAAACTTAGCAAACTTATGGACCATAAACTTTGATGGGTCTCCCAAACATGTAGAACAAGAAAGACAACCTGATCGCATTCTACATTCTACATTCTGTTTTTTTTTTTTTTTTTTTTATGAATTACCTCCTCTTTGAATGTCTTGTAATGTTCCTCACAGCCAGGGAGAGTTTTGACAAATGCTGCTACTTGTTCGATGTTCCATTTTGCTACATCTGACCCCTTCAACCTATGAACTCCTGGCAGAAGCTTAACATGCTGTTCCCAGCAGAGAGAGACATTGGGGTTAGGCGTAGTAGCCATGGCTGACTTGAAGACTGAGTTGTGTACACCATTCTGTAAGGTATCTTGTGGACTAGTGATATCTTGACCTATGACCAAAAGATAAAATATTTCTGTTTAAGAACTATATGCGGTATATTGCATATGTTTGCCCCCACAAAAGTCAAATTTTGAAAACTTCCTGAAATGTGCTGAATTCAATAAATTGTACGAGAAATATAAGTTAACAGAAAATATTATAGTTCCAGAGCAGTGTATTCACAATTTCTGTTTTTATGACGTCACAAACTAGTCCGATTTTATATCCTTTTTCAGAAAGAGGACAAAATGGACAAAATTTCAACAATTTAAGCTTTAAAATTTATAGAGCGCATGTGTGTTCAGGAACAATATTGACATATTTCATTGATATTATCATTCTACACATTATATCAAAATATTTATCCTGAACACACATGCGCTCGGTGACTTTTATTTAAAATATCGACGAAATATGTACATTTTTCTGCAAAATTCATAAAAAACTGAAATTTACGTCATATTTGTGACGTCATTCGTACATATGACGTCATTACTTATGAAATTATTCAGTGCTTTGAAGTCAGCATATACTCCCCTGTTTAAGGACTTAATTAAATATTACTCCATCAAAGTTTGATTTTGGGGGGCAAATGTTGGTTAATACCGCATATAGTTCTTTGCTGTATTGCTTATTTTGCTAATAACTAACTTTTCAACGTACAATTCTTAATTAATTACCTCTCTCTTGTTTATACTTCAGTTTGGGGGTCTTTGGAGGGGGTCCCCTCTCTCCCATATTTAGATAGTAACTCCTGGGAAAAACAAAAAAAAATACAATTAAATTTATTAAACACAGACCTGCCAAGTGACCCGCATTCGGTGGGTCACACCCGCAAAACTGACCTCTCACCCCCCACTCGTAATGACCCGCGGCGGGTCATCATTTTCACCCGCAAAATCGATTGTCCCCATTTTTTAACCCAATTTTCGGTAAATAATCCGAAGAGAGATAACTCTAAGAAGAGGGTACAGTTTCAATACAAATTAAGCCCTATATTTTTCTAAAATATGAAAGTGATACAAGAAATCAAAATTCATTCTTTTTGAATCATAGAAAATCTCTGCAATAAAATTACACAAATGGTTTTTCTCATATGACCTCCTAAATGCTAATTGTGACGTCATTAACTTGTACATTTTCCCGTATTTTCTTAAAAAGTTGCAGAAGACAGCACTTTTCAGTGAAATTTTCTTTCAGAAAACATACTCTGCCTCCGTCGCCCGGAAAGGTTTTGAAATATGTGATTTTTCATAGCAGTTTACATAATATATCCAAAAATTAAAGTGGGCGACGGTGGCAGACACTATTTTCTAAAGGAAAATTAGCAGAGAAATGAGTCATTTTTAAGCTTTTCTACATTAAACTTATAAATGTACCAAATTAATGATGTCATATTTCTAGAGAGGTCCTCCTTCATGCCATATTCTTTAATGATTTATCATACACATCTACTCAACTATTTTTAAGGCCAGTTTCATAATATTTTACGAACATTAAATTTTTAGGGCACAATAAAGCTCAAACCGTACCTTCTTCTTTATTTTAAATTTTCGACACCAGACGGCGCCTTTGATAATGGAAACGGAAGTGTAAACAAGACCATGAATAATGCCAGCGGCTATGTTTTTTTAACGATGTATGAGCTGTGATCATCAGAAAACAGGTAATTATTTTGATAAAGAGTTCACAATCAGTTTGAAAATGTCTTCGGTAAGGAAACGATAGAACATCAGTGGAGAGCTATTGGGGTGAAATAGCTAAAATGCAGGACATATTCACAAAACAGAAAAGATTTCCTTGTTTGAGCAAACTTGCTTTAATGTGTATTGTAATCCCCATCTCTAATGCAGATTCTGAGAGAATGTTCTCCATAATGAGAAAAATTGTCACAGAATGCAGATCTGAACTCAAAAATGACACAGTTTGCTCATTGCTATGTACAAAACAGAACAAAGACCATGACTGTTATGAATACTTTCCATCTGAAAGTGTGCTTAAAGCAGCAAAACTGGCATGTAAAGATTATAATTTAAGCCTGAAATAAAATGTAATGAATACATGTGTGTGTTTACATCGATGTCTAAAAATTTGGGGACTATATTGTTACTCAACCCTCGAAAAATGTCGTCACGCGCTATGACCCAACATTTCATTTCTGAATGTTGGGTCATGACCCCCCACAGCATCAATTTTGGTTGGCAGGTCTGTTAAACATACTTTTACAATTCATAAATTTCTGTTTTACTTCTGTTGCAAAATACATATCATTTTTTTTCATAATATTATAATTAATTCAGCCTTGCCCTGCATTTCTCTGTATTATCAAGATTGTAGCAACTGGTAGCATGAGAATTTGCATCAATTGATTCACTTTGGTGTGTATGTATCTATAAAAGCTGACCTTGGTTTACGCCCGCGTGTTGACTTTTTGGGGACCGCGTTCTCTGCTACTATTGACTGCTGTAACTGATTGCTCTGAGCTTTAGGACAGCCTGACAATTTGTGGTGGGCCGAAAACTTCCCGGTCACATGACCCTGTCCATCACAACCTGGAGTCGGGCATTTTCTACAATATAATAACCTTCTATGTAAAAAACAGCTCTAGGATCCAAACTCCGTTAAATCTATCATAAAATCAATCAATAAACTTCAGTTCTGAAATGCATTTTCAAAGCTTTATTTCAACGCAGTCTACCAACATTCAAATGCATAACTGCATGTCTTAATCTTATTGTCATTTGCCTAAGATCTCTGACCTAATCATTAAGAAGTTTTGAGTTTTGGCATTTTCAGTCAGTTACTTTACTGCATGTTTACTCAATGTCATTTTTATTTGCCATGAAAATTATGAACTATTTCAGATTTCTTTCTGAACTACATTGTATTTAAAAGTAACTAATTTATTTTCAATAACAACTACTGACTTGACAATTTCTGGTGAGTCTGGAGGTTCTGATTTGATCATTTTGGGGTCGACGGGGGAGGAGGGGGTCGGGGTTTGGACCATCTCCTCAGCTCGGGTGGATCCGAGTCGATCCTGAAGGGTGGACTCCCTGTTCATGTTTAAAGGCGAATACGGACATCCAAATGCACTGGAAATAACATTATTGTATTGTAAAACCTATTCTATTCAAAATACAGTGAGTAAAATATTTACATGAAGTTACATATTATTTGTTACCTGTGATGACCTGTATATTTGGCCCCTTTGATGTGTCCTATACCCTTACACCCTGGTATGGGACAGCCAGTAGGTCCCGGGACAAGATCTGCTGGTGCTACAATAAATCAGACATTATACATGTAAATAGGAGACATACCACAAAAAAAGATCTTGTACATTTCAAAATTTTCATATGAAATTATTTTGTTGAAAATGATCACATTTTCAATACATTTTCAATCTTCTTTGTAAAATTATTTGGCACTTGATGTGTTTGGCATTCTAAAATATTTGGTAGTTGATGTTTTGAATAGTCTAAAATTTCCACATAAATTGTTTGATGGAAAATTTTCAAACTTCATTGTGACGTTATTTGGTAGTTTGTACACATACTAGGTGGAGCAGTAAGTGGATGGCCTGTTTTATGACACCAGCCTGGAGGATGGATATCAGGACAATCGTCTTCCACCCAGTAATCATAGCACTCATCCCACTCATCAAAATGGAGCTTCAGAAGATGTCCATCCACCTCTGTCACCGTGGCAACTCGGATCAAAACCGGATTCCTCTTATCCACAGCTTCAATCTTCATACCAACCTCAAAGCCAACAGGGGATTGCTGGTGTAGGAAATATACAAAGTTTATTATTTAAAATCTCTTTTAATGTTTAATGAAACATTTGTACATGCATATACAATTTCGGACAATTTAAATTCTCTTATTTTTCAGTACACATGTACTTACAGGTTTAAATGCTTTCTCTGGTACAGCTTCTGCCTCATTCCTCTCCAAGTACTCCTGCCAGTTGAAGTGAACATTTTCATATTCTGTAAAATAAAAGTTAAAAGTTTAGCATAATACTTTAAAAGTTGATTTTAACTTCCTGAACTAGAAATCTGGCAAAATATCTAACACAGTCAAATGACTAACAGAAACCTACCACCAGGTGGAGAGAGTGTTTTTCCATTTTCCTCACACCAGCCAACAGGATGAATATTCATGGATGTAATGTCACACCAATAATCATAGGTGTCTTCCCAGCCATCAAAATGGATCAGGATTTTGTTTGCCATCACATCATTAACAGTGGAAGCACAGATTAAATTACTATTCTTCTTGTCAACCGACTCCAACTTCTGACCCACTTTAAATAAGTGAGGGGGAACAGGCTACAAAGAGGATGATTACAATTCATCATATATCACTGAACAAAAAAAATACAGTCATAAGATAGCACAATAATCTCAGAGATGATGAAACAAATTAATGCACCTACCTCTTGAGGAAGATTATTAAACAAAGACCTAGGAGCTGCAATAGCCTTCGACAACTTCAGATAATTGAGCCAGTGAAATCCATCTGTTGTAAATCCTGTAAAGAAGTCATACAATAATATTATGACAGATTAAAAGAAGATCAATTTTAAAAACATTACAAGAGTGATAAATGATATAAAATTCATACTCATTTCTTACCTTTTGGAGGCTGAAGAGTTCTATTGTTCTCCTCACACCAACCAACCGGGAACAGAAACCCAGAGTCAGCATTTGTCCAGAAATCATAGCACTCAGAGTAACCATCAAAGTGGAGCCGGATTCTAAAACCACAGATCTCTGCTACCGTCAGAACACAGAACAGAGACTGGTGCTTGGGATCAACCCCCTCTAGCTTCATACCCAGCTTAAAGCCATTCTTATACACCGGAAAGGGCTAAAATAAGAGAAACAAAATGTAGCACTACAAAATAGATTTTATGAAATGTCTTTCAAGAAAGATTAAAAATGATTCAATAAAAGCACATATTTTCCCCCTTAATTTTGAGACTTTGGGCAGCCACTAAAAATATTGTAAACATAATTGTTCTTTTACATGGGTTCATAATTCTGCAAAATCACATGTAGAAAAATGAACCTTTCTTAGTTTGGTTCTATCATGATATGCCACAAGTGTACCTAAATATACTGGGAAAAATTTCTGCAGAAAACTTTCAGAGGAAAAATTATAACATCAGCAGAAGAAAGTACTTCTATGGTATGTGCAGTTGAAATACCTTTCTTTTACCCAACCACTGGCCACTTACTTCTTTGAATAATCTTAAAGGAGCACCTTGGGACTTAGTTCTCTCCAAATATGAAGCCCAGTTATGTAATTTGGGTTTTCTACCTGAAATTTTAAAGAAAGACAAGACAGTTAAAATCCTGTTTTCAGTTTAAAAAAGTACCAGATACCAAAACTACATTCTCACACTAACTGCTAGTACTATCAACCAACTCCTTCTAAAAGCACCTCCCCCCAAAAAAACGGACTCTACCAAAAGCGACTAACCTGGTCCAGTTTTAATAGGGACCCCATCTTCATCTAGGTTTCCTTTTAACATCATCAGCTTCTTTTTCTTCTTCCACATTTTTGACATGAACTGGCTATGTCCTCCTCTCCCTCTCATTTTCCTTTGGAAAAAAAACAATTTTTGTTTAAATCGAAAGGATGTTTATCAATTAAAAAATTCCCAAGAGTCAGTATTCCAAACTCTCTATTCCAAATGTAAGAACCTATTGATAAAGAATTGTAAAGCTTCACTTCACAAATTAGTGATTCTTTGTGTGTTTTTTGGTTGTAAATGTGACCTACTTGGTAGTGAAGGTTGTGGCACAGGATTGGCTACAAAATCGACCAGATTTACAGAATTCACTCGCAAACCCAAACTCTCCACAATTCATACACTGACAAACTTCATCTCTCACTTCTCCACTGGAATCAGGCAATTTATCTAGGAATAAAAAAATGTCTTAGCTTTATATCAAGTTTCTTCACATCAAGTAAATTGACTTGCAACACTTAAGTCTGAAATTATTACGGTAAAAAGTCATTTTCCAGAGGAAAGCTTGTTGCCATTTATGCACAATCAACAATTTTTGTTGCTCTGTTTGAAAGCGACACTTGCTGAAAAGATAATGTAAACAAAATAAATGCAATGAAAACTGTTAAAACATACCTTCCTTTTTCCTTCCCCCCGATTTGGTCTCTGTGTCACCACTACAGCCTGGGGTGGCCTCAGTTTCCTTCCGTGTTTCGGAGACATCCATTTCAGTGCTGGAGTCCAGAGTCTCGTTACATTCCAGCTCGTCTGTTATCACTTCTAAAGCTCCAAACTCATTCATTTTAAACTAAAAAGAATATATGCATACAGTTAAAAACTGAACTAGTATTCTTTGTTAGGATATAGTATATATAAATTGAAAAATTGTACATCATCATTGTTTTTCATATACTTGATTCTCTCCGTATGAAACTTCTATTTTTATTATACCTTAAGGTACCTCAATATAAAGTAATGACACCTTAATGTTTTCCCCATACATGTGAAGAGTGGGACAGAAATACACAATACCTCACCACCAGACTACTTACTTTGAGACTGCTACCCTCTAGCTCCCCCACTCCATCCTTCCAGTCCATGGCACCCACAGGATCAAAGTCCTCCTTCTCAGATCTCTTGCCCTCCTTATCAGATCTCTTGCCCACACCCTCCTTTTTCTCCTCTTGTTTTGAGGAGGAGCTGTCATCCTTTGGTTTATCTTCTTCTTCAGTCTTTATCTCCTTTTTGATTTCCACTGTAGCCTTGTCTTTCTCTGTGACCTCTGGCTTGGCCTTTTCACTTGACTTTGTTTCCTTCTTTTCTTTTGGCTTCTTTTTCAGATCGTCCTCTAAATTCTGCACAGTGAGAGGCACCAGACTTTTATTCTCCTCTTTTTCTGATGTTTTCTCCTCCTTTTCTTTCAAAGTATCACTTGTCTTCTTCTTTGTCTGAGATTCACTTTTCACTGTCTTTTTCTCCTTTATAGAATCCACATCAGCCAAGAAATTTGGCATGTTTTCCATTGCACTTAATTCTGTGATGTTTTTTCTCTCCGATTCCTTACTGCCCTCTCCCTGCTTCCCACCTTCCTGCTTATTTTCCTCCTTTTCTTCACTTTTCTCTGCAGTGTCCATTTCCTCACACTGTTTGGGCACCTGTTGGGTATTCCCTGGTTCTTGTTGGGATTCACTTGGTGTGGAGACATTTACTTTGCTAACATTTGGAGCCGGACTTCTCACTAATAATGGTGCACTGGTTGAGGCAGTCATTTGAAATGGCACAGTCATTACTCCCACTTTTGTTAATGCATTATTAGGAATTATGTGGGTAAACCTTGGGGTAGATATTGTTCCCACTTGTGTCATTGCTGCAGATTGGACATGAAAATGGCTGCCTTTTTGCACGACGGGGATGGCAGAAGCCATTGATGTGGGAGACTGTGTGGATATGGCCACTGTTGCTGGCTTGGCGGGTAGTCCATTTTGTTGAGGTGTACCTACACTGGCTGCTGTTGCTTGGGATGGCAGATGTTTTGCACCTGTGTTCACTTTTTCTTTGGCTTCTTGTTTTGGCAAGTTTGTTGTGTCTGTTGCTACACTCCCCTGAATGCGAATTTTCGTTGGTAAAGCATTGGAAATATTGCTATTGGGTGTCATGCTGATAGGGGATACTGGTACTTCAATGTAAAAAATAAAAATGTTTATTGAATATCGTAAAAAATAAACCATCACTGAGAGACAGGGTGATTACTAAGGGGCACCTGTCAATTCTTCTATAGCCTTAAAACTGTGGTAAACTTTACTAAATGTTACCTGGAAATCTCTTTAGAGCTGTCATTGTGGTGACTGGAGTCTGTTGCTGAGCCAGAGAAGCAGACTGGGCCAACATGGCGACTGGTTTACCCCCGACATTGTGGATGTGAGAGATGTGGATCTGCTGGTTGGGGATCAGACTCTTCCCCACACTGAGGGGCTTCACTTGGAAGTTCTGCTGAGGAAGCATTTTGGAGACCATCTGAGGTCTCAGTTGACCTTGGGCAGTCTGAAGGACATTGCTGGGCTGGGTTACTGATGCCTGTGAGTACTGAGCTAAGGTCACAGGACCTAATGTTATCTGACCCTGAAAATTTAATAGTTAACATGTTAATGTACAGATAATTATGTAACCTGGTGTAAAAATGCATGAACATAAAAAAAAATTACGATATTTATATTATCTTTTTAAATAAATCAATTGAATATTTCTCTAGCTAATTCTAATCAATTGGTCATCAATAATTGTTTTACTACCCTGGTATATCAGAGAAATAATTAATGACAAATTCTCAGCTTATAAACTACAAGGTAAATATTCATTAGACTTTATTTGAGAATGTCTTACAGATTTTAAGTTTTGCTGTTGTAGTGGTACAGGGGCTGGTAGTATGTTGGTCTGGCCTGTGCCTTTTGACTGCAGGGCCTGAAGTGTCTGTAATGGTAAGGCCTGCTGAGGCACTAGAGTCATGGTGCCTGGTTTCACAGTGACCGACGTGCCTGGTGCTTGGGATCCCTAAAGACATTTGCAAAACAGAAAATTATTTTTATTTACTTTTTTTCTGTACATTCTACAAGAATATACACACCTCTTAACAGAATTTACCTTGAATTTAAACTAATCACTGTTCTTACCGTTATATTTTGAGCAAAATAAGTGACAGGGTTAGCGCCCCTGAGTTGAACATTTTGACTCTGTAGCTTCATACCAGCTGGATTCACTGGTAATCCTAAAATAAAAACACCATAAACTTTTACACTCAAATTTGTTTTCATCTACCCGGTACCCCTAAACAATTAAAACAAGGATACAAAATCTTCAAATTTGCTACTGACAAATAGATTGAGCAGCTAAATAAAATGCTGGTAATGTTTTTTTTTTGATCAATGAAATTTTGTTAGAAATGCAGAGGAAGGGGGGAGTAAGATAAAATATAAAAGTATGCATGCATGACTAGAAGACAGAAGACTAAATGGCATTGAATTGGGAAAAAAAGAATTAAAAGCGAGATGAAGTTATTACCCTTGACTACTGACATGGTTCCCGGTTGCAGGCCTGAGGTTGGCTTCAAAGAGCCAATTTGGGGCTGTTCCAGTTCAGCTGGTTTCACATTGAAAACACCTGTACAAGTGAATTCATGCATGAAGGTAAAGACTTTAAAAGATTGAATTTATCTGTCCAAAATCTCCCTGAACCAATCAGTTTGTACTACAAGTCCATTAAAATGTGTACCAAAAGAAATTGCTTTGATGAAATGCAGATAGGATATAAGATGATGCATGCATAAATCTATATACATGTAGTTATATATAATTACAAATGTGTCTGTCAAGAAGTGAATAAATGACTAAATTAATGATGAAGCAAATTATATAATGTCCATTATTTCAGATTACAATCATTTTATTTATGTATGTCACAAAAATGCAACAAAAAGAAGGGATTTTTCCACACTTTTTTTGGATACTCTTTATAACCGGAAATATATACTTTTTAAGCAGTTTACAGGACATATCTGTGCAAATTTGGATAAAATTTTTTAAATCCATGCAGCCAGACATTTATATATTATATACTTGTATTAACATGGCTTTAGTTGTTTCAATTTTTTTCAAATAGTATTTCTTGAAAATAATTAGCCAATTGAAAAACTTAAGGGGTTCTCTCCAATATTATTCTTTGAATACAATTATTATCAACTATAGCCAATACATAAGAATTGCTTCTTCTTGACTTGAATGTTATTTTAGTTTACGCAACATCTGCATAAGCATTCTCAGTTGGAATTAGATCGTCAGCTTGCTTGTTTAAAATTCATCCACAGCTATTTAGTGTATCACAGTTTTTACTTTCTTTTGGATACAAAATTATAAAGTATACAAATTTAAGAATAAAAAATTGAATTATCTACAATGTTATTCAAACCCCACATATGCAATATATTTATTGACATACGTAACAAACTTTTTCTTCTAGCGGAGGCAATTACCACAATGACTGAGTGATAAGGTAAAGCCAATTCCTACATAATCTTTATATGCTCACTGGCACAAAAATCAATAAATATTAAACAGAATGTGACTCTTAGTGTGTACCAAGTTCTCTTGAAATAAGAGATGGAGTAGCATTTTAAAATAATACAACAGAAGTGTTTTATTCTTAGAAACCATGGCAATGCCATTAAAGGAAGTTAAGAATTATGCAAATCTATGTACCTAGACTACCCATGGAAGAAGTTTTATTGAGTAAGACAATAACTAATAGAAATATTTAACAGAAATATCTATATTTTGTCAAAATAGAAACATGGTTTACCAATTTAAAAAAAATAAATCAATGAAATTACATATCTCATTCATTTAGTTCTTTTATGTAGAATTAACATTTTTCCAACTATATCCAGAAAAAAATTGTAAGGAGAGTAACATTTTAAGAAAAAATCATTCGCCAGTCAAATTCAGGCCACAGCTCTACCATTGATTTTAAAAGCTTTTTATAATCTTTGACCAGTAGAGCTGAATGTGTAAATGTATACACCTGAAATCATTTAGTGTGGTCAAATGGATTTAAAGAAGTCAATCTTGTATATGGGCAGTTAGAATCCGGTTGTGGTCATTTGATATGGCATGTTAAATTTGTGCTGTATACATTCACAGTGTTATTTTTTTTCATGGTTTGTAACCATTTACCATTGAAACTATGTGTTGGCTTTGGTTTAAGTTTATAGATTACTGCCCATTAAGATTAGTCTATGAGGAAGTTAAAAAGTTCTTAAAAAGCATAATTTATCTTCCAAGTTAAGAATAATCGTTTATTGATTTATAGCAACAAAAGATAAGTTTTGAATACTCCAAGAGAGATTTAAGCAAGCAATGTTTGTGTTTTTGCTTTTTTTTTTTTTTAAATAAACACAATTAATATTAAGGCCATGCAATTTATGTTAGCTATGTCTGAAATTAAGTTAGGCAGAAATATTTATTAAAACTTGAAAACTTACCATTTGAAAATGTAACACTGATAACTGAACCTTGCTGCAAAGTGTTATTGCTAGTGACATTAGTTGTCATCAAGGTCACCGGGGTTGCTATGGTAACAGATGTAAAAGGAATGCTTTCACTTGCTGCAACATCTTGCTTTGGTTTTTTGGTGGGTGGTGGATTACCATCCACATTCTGTTGTGAACTCATTTGGATTTTTGTTTTAAGAAATCCTGTGAAAATATATAATTATATCATTAAAAATTTATAGTCTTTTTTTTATATAAAAGATTTTTTTTTCAAACAATGATTTTTTTCTTTTTATATTTTTAAAATCATTAATAAATATCTTTTCATCAATCTGAAATTCAAGTTTTAATCTGGTTCTCTCACAGATTAAAAAGATATTTTAAAATCAATACATGTTAATAAAATTAAAAGTTAGTTTACTGAGGAAAAAAATGGTTCACAAAATACACTGTTGTGACTGACAAACAAAAGAGGAAGTTTTTTTCTACATATTTTTTTCTTTCCCATTTTTAATGAATTTCAAACAGCATTAAGTGTATCATTTTGATTATTAAAATCTCTATTAATGGCAATACGAATATAGAATAATTAATACAGTTTTATTAAATAAACTTAAAACGTTTCTGATATTTTTCATGATGTGTAATATGCCAAAAATGAAAAATTTTAAAGTGAACAAAATGCGGATCTAAAGTTTCGTGTATGAGGCCTCGTTTTGGAGAAGAGATTTTATATGCATGACACAGTTCATAATCTACAACAAATATTATACAAAGTAACTTATTGTAAAAATTATAATACAGCTGAAGTTGTAAATTATGAGACTGCTAAAATAATTTAAAGTTTTTCTATTAGTGCTATTTAAAAACTTCCTGTAAAATGCTTTAGTAAAGAAACACTGTTATTTTCGATGTCCTATTTCACTTGGAACAGCACTACAAAACGAAAACGCGATAGTCATATTTCAAAAACCTACTAAAAACAACATGAAAATTAAATTATCCTCTCAAAAAATTGTTGTATTAACGAGAACAAATATTTTTCTATTTGTTAAAAGTAAAATTTATGCACACTAAGTCGTTTTCAAAGTAAAAAACACAAAAATTGTTGTATAAAATACCTAAGTTTAGAACGCCATTGCGAGGAGCGCCTGACGGCGGGAGGAAAACACATTCGCCAAATAGTCCATTCGGATGTTCTCTGAACTTATCGGCAACATTTATGAGCTAATTTTAGATCGGATAAATTCGTTAATTATAATACTGAAAATTCTACATCAATTATATTTTTCAACAGAAGTATAATTTTTTTTAAACTTTTAAACGAATTCTCCTTGAAAAAATTTAAATACGATATTTGTCAATCACCAACTTTTTTTCCGTCGATGTGACGTCACACATGAAGAAGAAAAACATTGACCATTTTGCTGCAGGTTAACTTCAACCATTACCATTTACTTATTAGAGACTGACAGTTCTGCTTAAGATTTCACAAGGTAAAGATGTGTAAGATTCTTACTAAATAAATGGCAAATGAAGTCATGAAAAATTTCTCTATGTTTATTTCAGCTTTGTTTTGGAGAGATTTTGACGTATATTGTGTTATGACAGCTGATCTGAGTTTTGCTTACCCATTCAGGCCATTGTGTAACTGAAGTTAAGGTTATGAGCAAATACTTGCAGATTTGTTATGATAAAAGTGATATATCGTTTGCTATTTTTAAATGTTTAAAACAAGATATCCTTTTTTCCTTTGTCAAGGCCATTAACATTAATACGCAGTGCGATTTTTTGTGGTCAATAAGTGGGTGGATCAGAAGGTGGTGGTTCATTATTATGTATAGGGACGTCCAGTGATGGATTGAGAGATAAAGGTATAAGGTGGAACATATCCCCTTTAAATTAGGATACACATACCTGTAATATAGGGATAAGGGATGTCAAGACAGCCCCCAAATCCTTGGTTTCTAACCTCCCCGCCTTTTTTAGGTGACCTAGTGACTTAGGTGATTGAGTAAACTCAGGTGACCTATTGCTATCTGTTTTCGTCCGTCGTTGTGCATCGTGTGCACTAACGCATTAATTCTTTGAAAATTTTCTTCTCTGCTCCTGGGTATCAAATCAACTAACTAAGTACATAGTTGTGATGGGCAAGAGTGCCTCTTCCAAAATTTTGAATTTCATGGCCCCAGGGTCAGGGGTTCTGGTGTTAAGGGGGGGGGGGGGCTCTATTGATCATATAGTGAAAATGCATTTATTCTTTGAAAATATTATTCTCTGCTCCTAGATGTTAAATAAACTAAGTACATAGTTATGATGGGGAAGAGTGCCTCTTCCAAAATTGGGAATTTCATGGCCCCAGGGTCTGGGATTTTAGTGGGGGGGGGGGGGGGCGCTTTTTGATTATATAGTGAAAATGAATTAATTCTTTGAAAATCTTCTCTGCTCCTGGGTATTAAATAAACTAATTAGGTACATAGTTATGATGAGCAAGAATGCTTCTACCAAAATTGTGAATTTCATGGCTCCAGGGTCAGGGGTTCTGGTGGTAGGGCGGGGCTCTAAATGATTATATAGTGAAAATACATTAAATCTTTGAAAATCTTTCAAAATTTTCTTCTCTGCTCCCCCTGGGTATTAAGCAGATGAACTACAATGTACCTATATAGTTATGATGAACAAGGGCCCTTTCTCCAGAATTGTGAATTTCAAAGTCCCAGGGTCAGGGGTACTGGGGGGGAGGGAGGGGGGGCTCTACTTGTATACTGAAAATGAATTAATTGTTTGAAATCTGCTCCTTTGTATTAATCAAACATTATTTTTTGATAAGCAAGGGTGCCCTTTTAAAAATTGTGCAATGTGAAGACCTAGGGTCAGGGGTTTATGTCACAGTGTTAGGGGCACTACTGATTATTGCCACAGGTGCTTGAGGACAGGACCCCCCCCCCCACCCTTCGATATAGACCCCTGGGCTTTTTCGACTTTTTTCTCATAAATAATCTTTCATTGACATATTTGTGATAAGATCTATACCAACAAATCGAAAAATTACCTAAAACAAACGTTCTATAAAATCTACCCTACATTCTATATATAAAAATCAACATAGAGAGTGGGGTAGAAATTTTTATAAAATGTTTATTTAAGCAAATTTTCTGAATTGATAGGATAGATTATATCACAAATGTGTCATCCATATATAATTTATGTGAAAAAAGTCTAACAGGCCCCGGGGGTCTATTGGGGGGGGGGGGGGGGTCCTGTCCTCAAGCACCTGTGATTATTGCTGAATATTACTGATTAGTTGAAATGCATTTTTGTTCCCCTACCCTGCCTATGGGTATTAAGTAACCAAACTAAGCAATTGCTAAGTGTATAAGTCTGGGAAATAAATGTTAAAAAAAAAGTGTATAGTTATAATGAGCAATGGTGCCTCTTTCAAAATTGTGAATGCCATAGTATCTAGCTTAAAACATGAAGCAAATTCAATCACTTGAAAGTTGTTGCATGATGCTCAGGTGACCTATAAGGCCCATGGGCCTCTTGTTTTGAATCCCTGATCCTTCACGGGGGATGTTAGCACAATAGATTTGAAATATTGAATTTTGATCATGTAAAATAATGAATATTGCATCAAGTATTATTTATAGCAAGAAACACGAGTAGGATCTCAACCTCCACAAACATATTGGAAATTACTAAGTACTTCAATAGGATCTATACTCGAAGAAAAATATTCAGATACATGTATCTCTATCTGACTATACTAAAATAATCTACATACCGGTAAAAACATTTATAAGGGCAGATAAAATTTTATGTTATTTCTTTTATTAAATCAAAAATTTAAATGGAAAACGTGTTGATAATAATTAAATGAAACTGGAAAGAGAGAGAGAGAAGGGGGGCTATAATCTTTAAAAATATTTACTATCATAGTATTTGCAATTTCACTTCTACTGGTTATGAATTAGAATTTATGAGTTATTTCATTCAAGGTTACCAATAATGGGAGGAGCAGTGAGCACAGGTGAAGACAATGAGGAATTAGTGGATAACTTAGTGGATGCAGAGTACATCAAATCTCCACATGTGGAGAAGGCATTCCGCGCAGTGGATAGAGCTCACTACTACCTACCAGAACACAGAGGCAACGCCTACAAAGATCTGGCGTGGAAACATGGGCACCTGCATCTGTCAGCTCCGTGTATTTACTCCGAGGTGATGGAGTGTCTGGATGTGAAGCCAGGGCTGTCTTTCCTGAACCTTGGCAGCGGGACTGGATACCTCAGTACCATGGTGGGACTCATATTAGGTACATCTAGGACTATTCATTTAAGTTTTACCAAAATGAATTCTCTAGACAGGATTTAAAGAGAGGTTTATTCCTCAGTAACTGTAAGAAATAGTCCATATACACATGTACTTCTAAACCTTTTCTGGGTTAAGTAATCAAGTCTATGAGTATATTTTCTATATGTAAATGGAATTGTCTGAAGTGATCAAATTTGCAAGTGCATCTTATTAATGCATCATAAGCAGGCACTAGATATGAGACTTAACTTCAGTGGAGAAATAATTGATCAAGAATTTTAGATGAATTTTGTATATTTATCTTAAATATCATTATAGGTCCCTATGGAGTAAATCATGGAATAGAGCTTCACTCAGATGTGGTAGAATATGCACAAGAGAGGCTGAGAGAATTTGCACACAAATGTAACAACTATGATGGTTTTGACTTCTGTCCCCCATCTTTTGTGGTTGGGAACTGCCTACAGCTTCCCTCCAGTTGCAATATGTATGACCGAGTGTACTGCGGAGCCTCCTGTCCCCCAGAGCATGAAAACTACATGAAGAATCTGATTAAAGTCGGAGGGATACTTGTGATGCCACTCAATGATCAGGTCTGATTTTATCTGAAAGGGTTAATTGTGAAATAGAACTTTATAGAATGTTTTGTTTTCCTGTTTTGTCATTTTTTTATGAACTGTGAGTTTATCGTTACAGCTGGTGTGCATTACCAGGACATCAGAGACTGTATGGAGCTCCAAAAGTGTCATGTCTGTCTCCTTCGCCACTCTGGTTACACCAACACAGACCGAAAATGATCTTGTCGTGGAACTCCGTAAGTTATGATTAAGATGGTTTTAAATATAATCATAAAATCTATGAACAATTTTACTCTAAAAATGAAATACAAAATTGCCACTTGTTAAGCATTGGCTTGATTTATGGCATGAATATTTATCTTCTTGTTTGGTAATTCTTTACCTAAGCATCTTCTATTACTTGCACAGTTCCAAATTAATCTACGAATTTGTCAGTGAAAGGGAGTTTTTAGTCATAGCTTAGGACTGATGTAACATGGAACCTATAACACAGTCATTGGCGAAAAAGATATTTTGATAATCATCAATGTGAACTTGTCAAAGAGAATCTAAGCACTTTTAAAGAAGTAAAAATCCATTGACTAAGTAAATGAAAAAATGTAAGTACCAGTTATATCAGTGAGATCATATTCTCAAAGCTGTCATCTTTTATTTTTCAACAGCTGAGGTACATATTCCAGGACTTCAGGATCTATGTCGAGTAGACATTAGGAAAATAATTCGAGAAAACATATATAATGATCATCCCGACTTAAAAACCATCAAAAAGAGAAAACCGAAGAAACCTAAGAAAAGATACTGCAGACGAAGACCAAAGAAAATGGATGTGCTGCCCATGAGTATGGGAATGATGATTTTGAATGGTTTTGATGAAAGTGATGAAAGTGAGGTAGAAAAAGATGGTGAAGTGTCAGATAACAGTGATGAAATGGAGGAGGATTCTGCTGTAGATGGGGTGTCTGATGAGGACTGTGGATCGGAGGATAAAGCCTCTGCAAAGGGAACATCTCCAAAGGTGAAGAAAAATGGCAGACGTGCAAAAACTGACAGCGAAGAGGAGCACACAGAACCAAGAAGGAGGAGAATGGATGCCAGACATGACCGATCACTGATTCTCGCCAGCAGATTGCTGGAAGTCATGAACCAGGCACAAGAATTGGCAAGATCTACTTCTTCCAATAATCAGGGGTCATCATCTGCTTCTGCCTTGGAGGAGATGAGAGAGGAAGAGCCCTCCACATCTGAACATAGAGACAGTGATCATCTTTGTGAAGATGAAGATGAGATCTTCAATTCAGAACACGACATGGAGAGTGATATACCAGACAAAATTGAGTCACAAAGTCCACCAGAAAATGGAAATCAAATAAATAATCAGGAAACAAATGACACAAAACAAAATTTCTCTTTGCCAAATGATGAAGATGATGATGAAAATAGAATTTCTGTGATATCCTCAGACTCTGAACTGGAAAATGATGATGTGCTGGCAAGCATAAATTCCAATCTTGCTGCAAGGGAGAGAAAACAGAGGTGTATCTCATTGACAAGTGTGGACACCACAGCCACCTCTGGGATAGGTTCTCTTTCAGAAGCCTCTGCCCTGGAGGAGAACATGGAATCTGAGATGACAGAGAGTCTCAGTGAGAAGCTTTCACCAAGCAGCAGTAGCCAGGAGAGTGGGAGGGCTGGCCCAGCGGTAGACAGTGAATCCGAGCCCGAGTCCAGTGTTATACCACAGTCTGAGGACCTATTGAAGAAGTACATGATTCAGAAGATTGACACTCTTCCCCTGCCTGAGGCATTGAAGCTCTACCTTATGTATTATAGAAATTAAAGAAGAGCCAAGCATTGGGACAAACCAAGGTTTATGGACACAATTCACCTGTTAATGCACCAGTAGATTTGTATATTTTGGGACATATGAAGATATCTACACTTATATATGTTGATGCTTTTCTTGATTACACATGAATATTAATTAATTAAGCTTGGTGAAGCTACGAGAGATGTTAATTAAATGTACATTGATTTGATATAACATGTACAGTAGTTGTCTTGCTTTTGGAGGGATAATTCTCATATAGCTAGATATACATGTTTGTGCATTTGATGCTACTTCTCACAAATCACTCAGGTTGTTGTTGTTGTTCAGTTACCATTTCTTTTCAGTGCTAAATACATGTTGTTACAAATTGAAGCTTTTTTGTCTTAATGAAATTAATTTTTTAAAGATTCGTCTTAATTTGCAGAAGGAATTTTTTGTTTGCAAGAATAAACTTAGAACATCTTTAGTTTATAGACAGGGGGAGTTTGAGAGAAGAAATTTTGAGAGAGTAAGTGTTGTGTGCTTGATTTCTACAGGATTTGTGTAAAGTATAGATTTATTGTATCTTTGTATAGAAACATAACACACAGAAATCTGAATGCCGGGAATGTTTGTATTTTGCTGAGCACAAAGATGGATTGAAGTGATGTATCTTATGTTTAGTGTTTCTTAAACATGTTTGATGAAGAAAGTACTTAATGCATGATGTATTGAAGAACTGATTGCACGGAATCTAGTCATAATTTTTTTTGGCATGAATGAAATCATTTACCAGTCATAATATTGCTATATACATTTATATTATCTACCTTAATTCATGTATTGTCTCTTGATATTTTCCCTGATTGGTTCACTTTGATTTTTTCTATTCTGAATTGATTGAAACTTTAAAGGTACAGTGTAAGGGAAAAAAAAGTTTCAATCCTTTATCCATTTGATTTACTTGTAAATATTGTGTGGCATGAAAGGTCTTTGAATGCATGGTTTTGTTTCTGTTTCTTTTTTACAAAGTTTGTATCTAAACAGACCTTGTGCATTTCATGAAATCATATGATCTAATATTTGATAAGTTAATGTCAATATTATCAATGAAGTGAACTTTGCTTTAGTGCTTCTATTTTGTTTGTACATTAACATTTTGTATATGCTTTAACATGATGAGACTCTCTGAGCATGTTTATTGCTGTCATCTGTTACAGTATGAAAATTGTGAATACATTAGATTTCATTCGGAGTTCTCAAATTGATATTTATAATAACTTGAGAATAAAGATTTAAAAATCAGACTGTGCTTTAATTAGCTCAATGTTTCCTTCTTGAAAGGAAATTTCAACTGTTAAAGAACTTGCCTTAAGGATACCCTGAAATATGCTTACTTTAAATGCTTTGCCTTTGAACACTTTAATCTCCCAAGCATTTACTTTAGCTCACCCGAGCTGAAATTATTTAACTCAATTGAGCTCTTCTGATCACCTGTTGTCCATCATCTGCCTGTCAACTTTTCACATTTTCAACTTCTTGTCAAGAACCAAATTTTAACCAATTTTGGTAGAGGGCATCCTTGGATGAAGGGAACTTCAAATTATGAAAATAAAGGACAAATCTCCCTTACAAGGGGAGATAATGACACCCCCCTCCCCCCATAGGTATTATGCGGCCACTATGGAGAATCAAAATTGTATATTATTAATAAAAAATGCAAAATCTTTATCGCAAAGTATACACATCATCCAAAATGGTGATGCCTTGATTTCTCGATCATGACAAGGAGCACATGGCGGGTGTGACTGGTCAGCAAGGGATGCTCACTCCTTCATGGCACCTGATCCCACCTCTGATGTTTTGGAGGTCTGTGTTTGCTCTGCTCCAATTTTGTATTGTTTTATGGACTTTTGAGCTTGAATATTGTTTGACATCTCCATATATTTCATTGGAAGCATCGAAGTGAGTTACGACATGCCATGAGGAATCATTAGATTAAATGGCAAGTCAATAATTGGAATTTGTGAGCATCCTGCATCCATGAATAAACATCCTCCACAAATCAATATACATGGTACCTGGGTGTCGAAGTCTTTTTTCCCCCCTTCTGAACATAAGTGAATATATAATACATTTTATCCCTACAAGTTTTTTATATTTAAGCCATCCATAAATATTTGTATTCATAAACTTTATACCCCGGTAATGATTTCACAGTAATTAATCAAGTTTGATGATTTCAAGCCTTTCATATCCTGAATAATGAGATGCTTTGGACCTACTTTTTAGTTGACACATTGGCGACTATAATGAAAAACAAAAATTCTCAACAAATATTTTGTTTTTATACAGCCTTGCTCCGAGCCTAAACCCTTTGGGCAGGGATCATAATTATCTTATCAAGGAATATTTGCTTGGGATAACAATGCATATAGTTTATTAAAAAAAAACAATGAATCTTGTTTCTCCTCCATTAGTTGCTTTGGAGGGCGAGGGGTCATGAACTGTAAAACTTGACTAATTACAACCATTTCTATATCAACAATTGGAATATTTTTTCCAAGCTCTTATTGTACAAGCATTATGTAGCTCTGGTCCCTTGATCGTAATTAACTTTTAAACACAAGAGATACATGCATATATGTTTAATATTTATTTAAAAATATTGCACAATGTACATAAAATATAAAATTGATGCTGGTTTCCAATGTAAATATCAAAGCCACACAACACGAATCTGAGCTTTTGGCAATAAGTACCAGTGTTTCTACATTTCCATATTAAACAGAAAGACAGAGAAAGTGTTGAAATAAATGATTACCTTGCAGAATTTAATTCAATAATGAGCTCTTCTGATGGAAAAGAAAGACCCTTGAATACTGTACACAAAGTTGATATCCTTCACTAAATTTTACATTTCTTTAATTAAGGGAAATTCATTTTCAAGTTGTTTGGAATTCATCCTTTTAAAATACATTACTCAACCTGAAAATTATTTGCAGTAAAAATAAAACTGTATGCAGTACAAATGTAATATTTTTTCTTTAAATCTTTTCATGACTTGTAAAAACAGGCATATTTGTAAATAAATGTACCTGTATTTGCATGTAATCTGCTCTTACAGGGTTAATTCATTCCAAATGTATATATCCTAAAAAATAATTTGTTCAAAGTCAAAGTACATTTGCATTTTTGAAAATTCCCATTAAGAGGAAGTTGTATTAAGTAAACCCTGGCAACATTTTTATTTCATATGAGAAGCTGAAATGTCCTGATTGACCACTATCATAACAGTACAAGCACATCATGACATGTTGAGGTTATGAAGAAAATGAAAGTCAGTCCTGAATAAAATCTGGAATGTATGCACTGTGTATTATGAAAAAGCAATTACAGGAATGTGCTTTTATGAAATAAGCATAATCTAGCACCTCTAGGAATGTGAAATTAAAACACTAAAAATATGTATCAATTTAATTACAAATCTGGCATTGTAATAATGAAAGGAATGTAAATATTGTAAATTGTTGTCGTTTGATACATATATAAATATGTTTATTTCTATAATCTGGATTTCTATGTTCCTTATCTTTACCTACTACAGTAAATTTAAATATTGCACTTCAACAAATCTGACAATCAATCATGGAATGTCTGTAGTAAATAAATAATGCATTTATATGTACCTGGATTTAGTGTAAAGCAGATAAATACGTAAATACTATGCAATAAAAACATAAAACAATAATATCAACAAAGTATAAAAATTACAAGCAATAAATTAAATTAAATATATTCATATTTGACTAAATAAATAGGAGACAGTACACGTACATGTAATAAATATGAGACGGTACATGTACATGGAAACATTTTCCAGATACAACAAAATCCAGATAACTAACCACTAACATAAATTGCACTTTTCACAGAAGAGGCATCCAATAAGAAGCATTATAACACTCAGGCTACTTGGATTTCTGATGCCCCTATACTAACAGCATTGTAATAACTGCTTCCTTTGTCCCTCTGACTTGAGCATAATTTCTGGATTTGCTGGATGCAGGCCTCCAGATTCTCATCTGTGACCAATGCTGGGTTAAAGTGAGGTATGTTGAGCTTTGACAGGAGGGATATGGATTCTTTCTTCAGGACATCCAGATAGTTTTCTAGATGTTTATTCTGTTCTTCTATCTCATTGTTCTCTTTTTCCTGCTGAAGTACATGGTTTTCTAAAGAAGACACTTCCGACCTCATCTTGATCATTTCTGACTCCAGATCAGTGTTTGTTTTCTTGAGGTCCCGAATGTCTGTTTCAGTTTGAAGTAATTCCTCATCATTCTCCAAATCTTCAAAATTCAATTATAAAAAAAAATATAATACAAGAACATCACAATGAAAAAACATCTCCATCTGAAAAATATGAAATGTTTTGCAACAACCTAATAAATGTGATAAAAGAAAAGTTTGCTATTTAGTTCTCTTCTGAAAATAAATAACCACATGACAAGACTCAAAAAAAATTATATCTATTAGGTATGCGTGCACAAGTACATAGCAAAAAATAATGTTCGCGTTCATGCCAATCCCTTGAAAAGTGGTGTATATGGTCTTGTTTAAATAACTCTCCCAGCTATTCAGAGATTAGACTTGGACATCTTGACTGTATTTTATAATTCTGTAATGTACTCACCTTCTCCATTTTGTAGTTTGCAATGAATATTGGTGAGCTCTGCTGGACTGAGTTTGGCCTTCTTCATGGCTGAGGTTGCCCTTGGGCACCCAGAGAGGCTTCTATGGGATAGGAAGCTTCCATTAGAGTGACCTGATCCATCACAACCAGGGGTGGGGCACCTGTCAAAGAAACACCAATCAGAAAACTCCTCTTATAATACGTAACCTTCTAATACAAATGTATGTACACATATCATTGATAAATATTTCTTTTTGTATACATTGGCCATTATTCACTAAACTGTCAATTTTAACCCATAATTTAACCACTGAAAAAAATCCTGCCTATTTGAAAACATGAAAAACTACATTTAGGTCATAGGCTGTTAAAGTAAATATTGTTGCCCTGCCTAAATTGTGGATAGTAATATAAGCAGCATTTTTTTGCTCTAATTCCCTTTTAGCAATTTAACTCATCAATTTCCTGTTGTAACTCATCAATGAACAATAGGTTAATAGATAGTATATGTATATAGATTTGATAATGATGGATTCTTTTCAAGAACCTATAGCATGAAAGTCATCCTTACACAACTCCGTCCATTTTGAGGGATTTTGCTAGGTCTGGATCTTGTCCATCTAAGCTGGCAAGAAGCTGTCGTTGTATTTTGTGTTTGTTGGCAAGAGGGCATCCGGATGCACTAAATAATTAAACAAGAGGTAAATTTTTCAAATCTAAACTAGTTTGAGGAACCTTTTTCAATACATTAGCATTTAAACATAAAAAAAAATACAACAGTAAAAAAATTCACTTCAAACAAAAAATGCCCTTCTTGCTGAATTAATATATCTCATGCATACAAAATTTGTGAAGCACAATTACAAAACAACAAGTGTTTGTGATACACTGATTCCCCCCCCCCCCCCCCCCCAGCCAGGTTATATTTTTTCTAAACCGGCAGTAAAACATCGATGTCAAAAGGTAAAAAATTATTGTACTCAAAGAAAAATATTGTCAAAAGTAAAACACATATAAAATGAAAAAACTCTGGCATCACGATGCAAAAGTTATGACCAAAGTTTAAGTTTTTCCTTAGTAGGTCAACCTTCAAGGTCAAAATTAAAAGGGCCAAAGGAAAGGTCTCATCACAACAATACAATATGAAAGTCCTATCTACATCTTTTCAAAGGGATAGCCAAAATTTTTCAAAAGTTGGTCAAACTCTTGGGACAAGGTCAGAAATATCTGTACCCCAAAAAGGCCTTATTTTAAGTAATACACATGCAAAGGATGAAAGTCCTAGTACCAAAAGTTATGGTAAAGGTTGAAATTTTATGAAAATTTGCAAAGATAAGTCAAACTGCAAGGTCAAAAGGTCTTGTCACAGTGAATAAAACTTGAAATATGAGAGTTATGAGCAAGGTGAAAGTTTTTGCAAATAGATAAACAGACAAAAGCCATATGCCCCTAAACCTTCAATCATGGGGGGCATAAAAAAAGATGGAAAAAATTTAAATCCCCCATTTATCATTTACATGTACTTTTTAAAGCTCTAAAAAGGTGCAGATACATGTATATGCAATCACAAAACAATCTCCCAAATTGCTTATAATGAAGAAAAAATATATACACATCAAATAGATCTACATAAAATATTAAAAAATACACAATCACACACAACATGTTACACCAACTATTACCTGCGATGAGACAGGTATTTTCCGGTTACATGACCTGTCCCATCACATCCAGGAATAGGACAGCTACAATCAAATTAACCAATCAAGTAATTTAATCTATACACCCACACCTTAAACTTCTGCTTCAGTAAACAATTTAGAACCATTCTTTAGAAGAAACTAACTTGTGAAAAGAACATTATTTTAAATTCTGTAGTCTCTTACCGTAATGTCTCTTCTTCCATTCCACTCTCCCTCCCAATGACTCTTTTCAGCTTAGCAGCTCTGGGACATCCAGACAAGCTTCTATGTGATGCATAGTTTCCTGTCACATGACCTGAACCATCACAGCCTGGAGTTGGGCATCTATGTTTCCATCAATCCAAAATTTACTCAATTTCAATCAAATCAATTTACTTTATGTAACACAAAATGCTTCAATGAAACTGGAATCACTAGCTTTTGATTTTACAATAGGCTGAGCACAGAAACACAATTTTTCACGCAAAAATATGAACAGCAGTACATTAATCCACATGTGTAAATCATCTTCATGAGATCCTTTGTAACTATTTCTTAGTTTTATTTATGAGATTGTAAGGTAAATGCCATTTATGTACACATGTATCCATTTCTTTAAGTTTCATTTATGTAATTGTAAGAAAATACACAAATATCCAAAGAAAGTCAAAGAAAGATAAAGTTTACAACACTGAAGGCTCTTTCATGCATGCAATATATGAACTGGGTAAAAAAGAAACCTCGAACCAACAAATATTCAATAAAGAAAAACAAAAATTTACCACCTCACAACATCAAAAGAAGCTTGCAAAATGAAGGAAGAAAAGAGTTTGGACAGTTTCAGTTATTATGGCAGGCATCATAGCTGTGAGTCACATGACTTACTTCATTTCAACCTGATTGGCTTGCACAGTGGCTCTATCAGCCAATGGGCAACCTGAGAGACTTCGGTGGGAAGTGTAATTTCCAGTCACATGACCGGACCCATCACAACCTGGGTAGGGGCAGTTAGATGAATTTTTTCCCTCTGTCTCTGAACTAACTGATTCTATGTCTGCACTATCTCTGGAACTAAGTAGGGTAAAAATTGGCAGTGAATAAACAGGTTGTGCTTCAATATAATTTCTGGATGAGAAAAGGATAGCAGCTTGACTTTCCTTAAAATCAACAAGACAACAGAAACGCAGATATACCTTGGGTAAAATTAATCTATATAAAGCTAACAAAAATTAAATTAAGAAAGATTTTGTATTTATTTTCAGATTTTATGTACAAAAATATACAACAATGCAGAAGTGTCCTGCATAACAAGATTACAATCTACCAAATCGAATCATGTTTTGCCAAATTCAATTTGATGTTAATAATAAAATGTCAAGAAATATATTTTAGCTATACCTTACTTGAGTCTTTTTTCATCTCGGCATATAGTGTACTTATCTGAAATTGACCTTTATCTTATTTCACTCAGCTTAAGAAACATCTGAAATCAATGCTATTGTATTCAAGTTAATTAATCAGAGAACTATTATTATATGTGGTTACCCTAGATAGTTATCAAAGAATTTGGTGAAACTGGTTGAATTTGGTAGATCTATGAACATAACAGGTGATAAAACATTTTAACTCAATGACAGCAAAATAAAACAAAAAAAAAATTACCTTTCAGCACTTAAGTCCCCCAATCTGGAATAAACAATATCTCATTAAACCTTTTGCTTTATTTCAAAAACATTCAAACAAAAGTTACAGATTTATCTGCGAGTTTTTGGAAGAATTTTAGGGACTTAAATGCTGAAATAAAGAAAAGCATAAATTCATTATCGTTTTGCAAACTTGCTAGAAAAAAAAGAATCAAATGAATATCAATAGTTAATTCAAGAATCCCACTTTCATCTTCTTAATTTATAAACAAGAGGAAATTAATTTACTTTAATTTTAAAATACACAATAAATCTATAATTACACTTCTTTTTAAATCTTACATTTAACAAAAAATTCATACAATTAATTATCATTATTAAAAGTCAGCATCAGCATTCATTTAAAATTGTTTTTAAAAAAAATTGTACATTCATGTAGATTTTTGAAATATGCTTGTCACTTGAGTTCAAAATTGTAATTGCCACAATTTTTTCAAAATGCGCAAAAATTCTGTGATGATGCTAGACTGACTTTCTAGTATTGACTTGAATATGTTTTCCATCAGGCCCCACAAAAACTGTGATGGGCTTGGTGTTGGATTTGTTGGCAGGAGTCAAAATGGTGCCATGACGCACTTGTGAGGCCGGTTTGGACATCAAAGGATTGGGTATTGTCAAAGTAGTTACCGACCTGGTGAAGCTGAGCTGTTTGGCCCCCTTACGATTCAGTATGTTGGGTGAGGTGGAGGTGCCTTCGTCGGATGTGGACGGCTTGGATTCACTTTTCTTATAAGTAGGTCGCCTCAGGATGCTTGGTCGGATTGGTTCTCGCTTGGGCACCTTGACAACCGGTACAGCAGCAGGTTCCTCTCCTTTAGAACCAGACACACTTCCTGCATCTAACTGGTTGTACTTTTCCAACTCCTTGGCAAGGTTGTTGCGAGGCGTTTGTTGGGATACCAGAGAGGACAAATCAGTGCCCAGCTCCAACTGTTTTGTGAGGATCATAGGGCGTAAAACCCGGTCTGAATCTGTTCAGATAAAAGCAACCCATGAGAAATTTTTAAAGTGATGTAATGTATTCACAGAGAATAAAATAACTCTGTAGTTCACTAAATTTTCATGACATCTAATTTTCCTGAGAAAGTAATTCGCTCTTTAGAAGAGTGACAAAATTATTACGAATTGTGGTAATTACTCTCTATAATCTTAAGTAATACTATTATATGCAAGAATGAATTTTTCGCAAGCAAACTGTCTAGCGTAGTTATGGGAAAATAAAGTTCTCATGAATAAAAAGTGATGTAAATAAAAGATAGAAATAAAATTTAAAGACAGTGATACCTGGATATTACAAATAATGGTAAACTTCAACAATATGTCATAAGATAAGCATGTACTACGCATGTAATTCTAAATGCAATAAAAGTACATTCTTAATCTATTTTCATAATTTTCTGAGAGATTTGCAATAATTTAATATTAATTTTTTAATTTGTGTATTCTAAATGAACATGGTCTCAAAAATTCCTGTATATGTCACAAATTGAATTACATGCGTTACTGCTGTAAATTAAAGTTTGTACACAGTTTCAACAACTCAACAAATAGAAATTCAATTTTCAATCAACAATATTCAACTAAACAGAAAAACAAATGAACTAGTCTCTACTCACTTCTACACAGCTACAATTCTACACAATGAGTAATCCAATACAGAGCTGATTACATGCATTAACTTATTGTAATTCTGTTTATATCTAACTCTGATAATTTTAATAATTCTGATTCATTCTACGAGTACAGAAAACATTACTTGTTCAAAGAAATCTTAATAAACAAGAGGCCCATGGGCCACATCGCTCACCTGAGAAGCTTTGGCCATTCTGTTCTTTACCAGATTTCCCCCTTGTTACACATAATGCATCCCCATCCTACCCCACTGATCATAATTTAGACATTTTGAAATCTACACTACCCCATGATCCTTCCATGGGCACATATGTTTCAGCTTTTTTGGCCCAATGGTTCCTGAGAAGAAGATTTTCAAAGATTTTTCCTATATATTTCTATGTAAAACTTTGATTTCCTATAATGGCCCCGCCCTTCCCCCAGAGGTCATGATTCCTACAATTTAGAATTTACACTACCCCAGAATGCTTCCACATAAGCTTACTTTTTCTGGCCCAGTGGTTCTTGAGAAGAAGATTTTCAAAGATTTTTCCTATATATTTCTATATAAAACTTTGATTCCCCATTGTGGCTCCGCCCTTCCCCCGGGGGTCATTATTTGAACAATTTAGAATCTACATTATACCAGGATGCTCATAAGTTTCAGCTTTTCTGGCCCAGTGGTTCTTGAGAAGAAGATTTTCAAAGATTTTTCCTATATATTTCTATATAAAACTTTGATTCCCCATTGTGGCCCCGCCCTTCCCCCGGGGGTCATGATTTGAACAATTTAGAATCTACACTTTACCAGGATGCTTCCACATATGTTTCAGCTTTTCTGACCCAGTGGTTCTTGAGAAGAAGGTTTTCAAAGATTTTTCCTATATATTTCTATATAAAACTTTGATTCCCCATCCCCCGGGGGTCATGTTGAACAATTTAGAATCTACACTACCCCAGGATGCTTCCACATAAGTTTCAGCTTTACTGGCCCAGTGGTTCTTGAGAAGATTTTTTAATGACCCAACCCTATTTTTGTCTTCTCTTGATTATCTCCCCTTGCGAGGGGATATGTGCCTTCATTTTAACAATTTAAATTCCCCTTCACCCAAGGATGCTTTGTACCAAGTTTGGTCAAAATTGGCCCAGTGGTTCTTGAGAAGAAGTTGAAAATGTGAAAAGTTTACAGACAGACAGACAGACGGACGGACGGCTAGACAGACGGACGGACGACGGACAAAATGTGATCAGAAAAGCTCACTTGAGCCTTCGGCTCAGGTGAGCTAAAAATGGCTAAGTGTTTGCTAGAAAATCTCATCATACTTAATATTTCTTTTTTTAAATAGTTTATCTTTGCATCTTTTCCTCTCTCCTGATTTTTTGAACAATCTCCTCATTATTGCTTTAATTTGCCATGTATCTTTTACAGTATGTGTTCTTTGAAAGATTAAGTTTATGATGCGATTTTTTCCTGGCTTGATTAATTTTTACAACAGTGATTCTGATTTAAGATGCAGAATAAATGGAGGAAGTACAGACCATTCTCTCCAGAGGTACATTTTTGTGCAGCCAATCGGATGAGCTCTTTCTCATTACAAGCAGCTAACACAGCTTTGGAGGGGTCGTCATCTTTTGGGAGCAAAACAAGGTGCAGACCTATCCGGTAACATGAGAAAATCAAAATAATGGCAAATAAAAATGTGATGAAGCTGGTATGAGCATGCATAGCTTATATTCATACATTCAAGGATTCACATAAGGCATTCTAAAGGACATTTTCTGCATTCATTTTGCTATATACTGATAAGATTCAATTATCATTTTAGTATTATTTTTAGCAATCACATTTTTATATAAATCAGAATTGCAAAAATAACTTTTTTACAATATCAAAACAAAAAAAATGTTAAATTCAATTTTTTGAGTTTTCCTGATTCATCTTCAGACACTTACCTGATTTCTTTGCTGTTTGCTGTGTTGTTTGTACAAGTTTTCCCATAGCTGCTATGGGGCATCCTGATAAACTAAAATAAGATTGATGGTCAGTAATGTATATGAATTGTAGATAAAAACCCAAAATATACAACAACAGCAAAAATTCACTGAGCTATTATGAATCAGTTGATCATCTTTTCTAATGAAAAATATAGATTTATCACCTGATCACTTTACTGTAACTTCACACTTATTCCTAAGAAATTTAGCTTAAAGAATTTCCTGTTACCTCCTATGGGTGGTTCTGTTTGCGTTCACATGACCTTTCCCTGTACAACCTGGGGTCGGGCACCTGTAGGTATATGAATAATGACGTAAGAATGTGCACTTCCATAAGTAAATAATGATTATGAATAAACAGTTAAAATTCATTTGCTTTTGTCCTTAGAATTAGTTAAATTGAATTTTACACTAACCTGGCTAAATTTTCATGCATAGCCACAACTGAAAAATACAAAATTGAAATGATTATCAGTTGTTTAGTACATATCAACTGATAGTGAATAATTCTATCTAATGTATTGCTATAGGTACTATACATAGTACTTACTTTCTGGGGGAACTGAGCCCTTTTTTGGACAACCTGACAAACTTTAAGAGAGATTTGCATTCATTAGCTGTGTACAGATACTTTATATGAAACTTTTTCTTTATTATATTTTGTATTTTCTACATAATCAGTCACAATGATCTCTAATAAAAATGATCACAAATTACCTTCTGTGATGAGAATACAGCCCTGTTATATGTCCAGAACCATCACATCCAGGAGTTGGACACTTCATATCTGTAAAAAAAATTTCTTAAAATATGAAGTTTACTTTAAGAGACAAAACTTACAGGAAAATATTTTTCTTACTCTGAACTTTGCTCTTGACTTTTGATGGCTTTGTTGTTATTGAGAAGATTTTATAAGTTTTCTCCAATAAGTAACTATGTTAAAGTTTGATCACCAATTGTTGCCCCATACTACCTCTGGGATTTTTATTTTTACAAAACATCTGACAAAAAAATGTTTCGTCATTCTCAAGATTTTTCTTTATAAATGGTCCCAAAAATTTTTGCCATTTCTTAATTGTCTCCCATTGGAAGAGGGTGTTGCCCTTCATTTGTATGAACTTCAATTCCCCTTCACCCACAAACACTCTGTGCAAGTTTGGTTGAAATTGACCCCGTGGTTCTTGAAAAAGATGATAGTGCAACAGGCAAATTTCAGTCAAAAAGTTCACATCAGCCTTTGGCTCAGGTGAGCTAAATGTGTGACAAAGTTTTTACCTATACCTGTCACGTTTTCATCACTTTTCTGAGATTCATCCACACTTTCTTTGTCTTTATTTTCATCGGATGACTTCCACTCAGCCACCACATGAAAATCATCATCTTCCTCATCTTCGTCCTTTATTTCCACTTTGACATCCACTCCATCTCTGTTTGAAGTTTCTGGTTGGTTACTAGCACTCTCTGTTGTCACCTCTTCCTTGACTTCCACATTTTCAGCTTTCTTTAATACCACAGAATATGCCACAGTCTCAGTGTCTGATTCTATTTTTATGTCCCCATCTTCAGTCTTCAGAACCTTTGATGGTTTTCCATTTCCTTCATCTGGTTCTAGCTTCCTTTTTGGACCAACTGTTCAATATAATCATGCATTCTTAGTTTTTACTTCTATAAAACAACAAAGTTAGCAATCAACCCAATAATTAAATTTCATGATTTTCTCAGAAATACCCGGTAATACACAGAAACTCATTACTGTAGGTTTTTTTTTTTTCACTTTCCTTAAAAATGGCCAAAGGAGGATAAATATACCAATCTTTTTTGTAAACACAAAAGCTTTCTCCCTTCAGAACCACTGTCTCTGACCATAAATTTTCTGTACTTTGTTAAATACTCTTCATGATATAGTGTTTTCTGAGATATTATTTACTTTGCACAAAGAAGTCAGACAGAATAAGTATGACATTCTAATACACTGTAATGTCCTGCACCATTAAAGAAGTGGGCGATCAAGCGATCCTGAATTACAGGCATTTTATCATCAAGCAAATTAAATAATAAAACAATAATTATAATATGATATAAGAATTTCTCTGCATTACATGCATGTATGCATAACCTTATATATTTTTCTCCATAGCTTATAAGGATAATTGCATTTATTGTGTGAGTGTGCATTTTCAAGAAGTGTTGTACAGAAAAGACTTTCAGGTGTGGACGCTTAAAATATTCTTTAATATTGTATGATAGAAAACAAATATTAGATTAAAGTTTAAACTTATACTCACCCAGCTCTCCATCAAGTGGTGTCTGAAATAAAGAAGAAAAAACAATTGCATTCAATTTAAAATTGAGCAGATCCCAAACTTCTCATAAGAGTTTGTTCACTATATCTCATTGAATAAAATGAAAATATTTGAATGTACCATAAACTGAAATCTATATTCTCTTAAAATAATAAAGAAAATTCCAAAGAAATACTTCCTTATGTCATACTTTTGTATAAAATATATAAATATTGCATTATAATAAAGTGAATTTTCTTTACCTGTGTCATTTTAACATCTGTTTCAATGCCTGAAAAAATAAAATACTATTTATAAGATATAAAAAAAAAAAATCAATACAGCCAAACAATCAGCAAATCCAAGTAAATACTGGTATCACCATTTATAAACAAAGTTTGGTCATATTTCAACTTAATTAAGTTTAATATTATGAGGATGGATGGTGATGTCAATCTTGCAGAGAGGGAGAGTTAATCTGAATATATTTTGACTTTGTTACAAAACTTAGTTGGAGAAGGAGAATTAGGACAGTATATTTACATGAAGGAATAGGGGCATTTTTAAATCTTGTGCATGAAGATAGTGAAGGTTCTTTGCTTTTATATTATGAACATTCCTTGTGTGAATAAGGCAAAAAAAAAAAAAAAAAAAAAATAGTCTTGTTTCCTGCTACCAGCCTGAAAAAAAAATAGGGTAGGTAGGTAGGAAAACTATTTTATTTTGTTTTTTCCAGTGGTATTTTTTGGATATGAATAGGGATGGGTATCGCCAAATTTTTTCGATATGAATATAATACAAAATCACAATAATATCATGATATTTTTAAAAGCAGTTTTTATGATTTTAAAATTCGTTATTTTTCAAAACTATGCATACAGTTTCAAAATTTTACTTTCTTGAAATTTTTTGTATATAAAATCAATTATTTTGAACATGAAATTGCTGAAATTCACTTTTTACAATATTTTTTTTTACTTTCTGTAATTTTAATTTGAAAAAACAAATAAACTGAATAACTTCTGGACTTTAAAAAAAAGACCGGTATTTAGGTCTCCGTATCACGATACGTATCACGCAACAAAAAATCGCGATATACCGGTATACCGATAAAATCGCACATCCCTAGATATGAACTAATAAAAAACCAAATAAAACATGTCACACGTCAACATTATACAGTTATTGACTGGGTATGAGGGCAACATATGATTTGTTGGACCTGAAGGTGAAAATGTTGCCCGAGGCCACAGGCCAAGATTCACAATGGCAAACAGGGGTTTCATAAAATAATTATCAATGCCAAAGTTTGTGATGGTTGTCTCTCCTTTGGGAGGACTCTTACTGGCTTTGGCATGGTTCTCCGTCCAAAAAAAATGTGTCTGGGTCGGGAATATAGAATATACTTCCTGCAATTAATTAACAGAAATTCTGTCCATGTCCATGAGTTCAAGCTATGATTGTGACATTGTCATAAAGGTCACATTACCAGATTGGGGTTAAAACAAAGATGTCAGGGGTAAACATTTCTTTAAAAAAGTTTTTTTTCATCAAGGCAAAAAAATAATTTAAGCCATCAAGGGAAAAAAATCCTACCATTTTATGGCTAAAATGTTGCATAAGATGAAGAATTCATTAGAATGGCAAATTTCAGGGGGAACCATTCTAGCAAATACTCTGCTAATTATAAAAAAAAATTTATTGACAATCACATCTCAATAATTTGCTACCATCAGTTGCCAATACTGTAATTCTTAGACTAAAGAATAACTTGATTCATATGTTGCTGATAAACAACTTTTAAGAAGGAGTTTTCCTTGTCATTTGTTTCCAGTAACTACTCATTGACATGACAAACAAATATGATTGGACCGATAGTAATGAAGACCTCATCCCGGATCAATACTACAGACTCCCCAATTATACATGTAGCTCTGATTACTGAGTATTATAAACTGGAGATCTGCTATGACAGGTATATACCTTCACTGCATGACTGTGTACTTAATAACACAGTAAAATCAATCTCACTGGATAATATTATTGTACTGTTCATTTCTGACTTCTTAAATTAATTTCTGTCTGTCATACACTGTTATATATATATTGATTTTCCAAATGTTACACATGCACACATTTTAATGGGATTAATCAATTTTTAAAAGAAATGTACTTTAAAATTTATGTCCAAACAATCAGCAATCTGATAACCCTTTTATCATTTAATACTTTATTTCTTTTGATTATTTTTCTCAAGGTTCCGGATGTTGACGACCACACCCTTTTTCCCACCTGATATCCAAACTCAGGCAAACTGTCAATGATAACCTGTTGAAATTGATAATATTTTATACAATGCCACCCCACCTTTGTTGTTTGAAATTTGAAACCTGGTAACTCTCTTCATTTAGTTTTTTTTCTTTTTTTTTATTACTGAAACTTGACTATCTGTACCACTGGAAATTCCACCTAAGTGCATACTATAGAAGTGTTATTATACCTGCACTTTCTAGAGGATGCACAGGTATATTACTTTTTTTCAGTCTGTCAGATTTCATTTTTTTTTATGTGAACATATTACATTACTGAAGTAAGTACACATGTAAAAAAAATTAAGAGGTCATAATTGAAAATTGTTGAAACTATTTTTTTTTATTACACAATTTTATGTCGAGAAAAAATATCTCATCATGTAACTTAATCTCTGTAACATTTTTTAAATTTGCCCTATATAAAAAAAAATCAATCACGCATCTAAAGAAAGTTAACTTGGTAGCCAATATGGAAAAAAACTTTTAAAAAGCTGCATATTCTTTTGGAAACCATTCAACTGTAACATTAAACAAAATGACAAAACATGGCTTGTTTTGTATGTACCCAACAGCTTTATGTGCCAAGCACCTGTCACCCAGAACTCTACCTTTGTAGCACATCTGTCTAAGTCCCATATCATTGTTCAGAACAGTTAATAATGTATATTGAAATTATTGCATATATGAATTTGCAAACTTTCACACACACACCTCCCCCCCTTCATTTTTTTTTAAATACGGTATTAAAGTTTTACTTCTAGTGTTAAAAAACAATAAACTTTTTTTTTAGAAATTCTCATTAAAAATGTACTATCTGAAATTGAATGAAGAGAAAGAATAAAAAGAAACTTACGTGAACATGAAGCACTGGTCTCATGAGATGGATCCTTGTTATCCTATAAAAAAAGAAGCACTTTCTTCAGAATATGACATCATTATATATAAACTAAAATATAAAATTATTTATCATAAAAGAATCAACTATTAAAAGTAAAGTTTAAACTTTCAGACATCCTGCATTCAGTACTCAACAAGTTTGGAAAAGTCAGCCATCTTGGATTCAGTAGGCACATTATCATAAAACTTTTCCCGATTCCTATTGCAGACTACGGATATCTGATTTTGCTTATTTTTGGAATCTAAATCAATACATATTCTTCAGTAAATCATCGTCTATCACTTTAAATCCCCAAACTACATGTGCAATAAACTTTGCAATTTCTTACTTCATTTGCTAATTAGACACCATGGCATCCTCCAAATACTTACTTTAGATTGTTGATATTCTTTATAGCAAGCTTTTAAAAACTTTTTAAACTTTCCTCAAAATTATGAATCTTCATACAACTTGGTCCTAGGTTGTCAAAACTTCCTATTTAACACAGTCATTTCCCCCTATTTTACTTTTCCATCAGTTCTGGCAAAGTTTGCTGAGTTAGTTCCTCCAGAATTTACAAGAGGACTGCTTTATGATAGTGCTTGCCATCTGTCTCATTATGCAGGCAACTGACATTATTCCCTATTTGGCCTTTGTCCTTCTATTGCTGGCATCTGATTGGTTGTCACAAATTTTTGTTTGGATTTATAATCAGTTCCTATTATCAACTACTGTGAATTATTGAACACCCAAAAGCAGCTGTTCTTTGACTAATTAATACTTTGTAGGTAAAACTTAAAATAGATTCACTTCTCAAGATTCTTTTATTTTCTTTATGTAGAATGATGGTGAAAAACATTTGTGTTACTTATTGCTTTAGACAACTTTAAATAAAGAAGTGTTTTTTGCAAGATGTTAAATAATGCCCATGGGCAACTCAATGTATAATAACTAACAATAAACTCATAAGTTATTAACTATTCTAAATACGATAAACAGATCTAGACAACTAAAGATAACGTAGAAGTTTGAAAGTAAACCAAAGTATTGATTTTCTAAGACACACACAGGCAGTTTCTGAGGATGCTTGTAGCCTGGGTAGTTATGGAGATCTGGACTATTGATTTTTGTCAGGAAAACTTTTACAAGTTTCCGAGGCTTAGGTATTGTCAACCTTACAAATAAAAACAGATCATTATATATTATTAATTTGTCAACACAAAAAGAAATCTCAAGTTTCTGAGCTCTCCGAGAGTTTAAAGTCAGAAAGAGAAAAGGTGACAGAAAATGAGTATGTTTTGTTTGTCACAGAGATGTTGGTGTAGTGTCATAATGCCTGGCTTCCAATGCACCTGTTGTCTCCATGGCAACAAAAAAGTGCTAGGCAGATTAATATCAGAGTTAACACCAATAATAACTAAAAATCTTATCAAAAGTTACCTATAACCATAACTTTGTATCTAACTAGGTGTACACAGATAATCAACATTCACATGACTTAACTTTATCGGCACACTGCTATAGATGCTAGCGATCTGATTCAATAAACAGAAGATAGAATTTCAAATGCAAAAGTTGCAAAATAGTTTTTAAAGTGGATCATGATCAATCATGTTTGAAGTTCTACTTCAAAGAATGAAATTTCATCTTTATTCCTTTTGAACATTGTTTGCTCTTCAATTTTTAATTAATCAATGCTAAAATGAGTAAATTTAGAAAATGATTTCTGAAATCATACATTCAGCTAAAAAATTTTTTTACTAAAAGGTAAAAACTTTTTGTGTTTTTTCCCCCTTTCTTTTCTACTTTAAAAGTCTACTTTGGGCATACATTAGAATTAAATTATACTAAAACCTAATAGAACAACTGGAAATGAATTGAGTGGTCAAAGTTCAATACTATCTTGACTTCTAAACACACTCAATACTTCATTAACAGGTTGTATATTGATTTTTCCTCTGAGCTGAGGCACAGTTATACATTATGTTGATGGCAAATCAATAAGATTGGATCCAAACTCCTGAACTTTTCATATTTATTATATACACTACAAGTTTGTGTTGCTGGAGACACCCCCAGACATTTCTATGCCACATACATGGTTGCTTCCCAATTAACTGTCATTACTGTGTATAGCTGTGTGCAACAAATATGACTTGCCCACTATTTAGCGGTATTTTATTAGTCCCCTGAAATTACTAGACTAACAGGGCCTACAAGTTTTATCACTTAGCTGATTAATTTTGAATACTAAATACTTACAGTTATTACACATCAGGTTAAGATCAAATTAGGAAGGTGACGAAGTTATCGTAATAATTTTTTTGCAAACTAAAACTAAGGTAATGTTATAATTAAAATATTTAAAAAAAATTGAAACTTTTTAACACAAATTGAAATAGAAAAGGCAAACTGAGAGGAAAAAACATACATTCCTAAAACAAGTGTTCAAGATTTGGTATAAATCATCACTGTGTGTACATAAACACTGTCAGTGTCTATTACAGTCATTCAAAAACACGAACACAATATCATTCAGTCTCTTATTTTTTTTTAGATCTACAAAATTTTAGCTTCATCAACATGAAACATGTTTGTAAAAAGACAGTACAACAAACAAAAATATTTATAATGATGACCTGAAGTTTTTTTTTCTGATTTGTTTTAATGGCATATTTTCTGATAGTCTTAATGCTAAAGTGAAGAAACCCAAGTTTTACTTTACTTTACTTTTGTTATATAAAATGTCTTACTTCAATAACAATGACATCATCAGCAGGCTCTTCCTTGATATCCTGTGATGTCAAATGAACTTCATACTCCAGATATTCACATGGAGCGGACATCCCTGCAAAAATTTTGAAACAATTTAACTTAAATGGACCATAATGCAGATGGATGTTGTGCAATGAGATGTTTAATGCTGCGGTATATATATTTTTAAAATCTTCTCTTTTGATTGATGTCAGCCTTTTTCAGGCTCCATTCTTGTATAGCACGTCAATATTTCCGGTCTCAGTAACTAATTGGTTAAACTTCTGTCTTCTGGAACAGCATGCCAGATTTTCTGGGTTTGCAGAGTAATGAAATTTGATTTTTTACCACCTGTGACACCTACTATTCTTTTGGAATATGCTTCGCAGCATTTCCTTAACTCAGAGAGAATTTGACAATGAATTGCTACAAAGAAGTGAAATTAGGGATGGGTATCGCTAAAAAATGTGTACAGCAAAATATCACAATAATATCATGATGTTTTTACAAGTAATTTTTACAATTAGTTTAAATGAATAGTCATTATTTTTCTTAAAAGTATGCTAGAAAAACAAATTTTCACTTGTTTGAAATTTTATGTAAATAAAATAAATCATGTTTGGATGGTTACATGCCATTCTTTTCGGCTTTTACAACATTTTTTAGACTTTCTTTAATTGTAATTTGAAAGATTGAACAAGATAAATGAATAATTTCTAGACTTTGTAAAATGTAGCTAAATATCAGTATTTAGGTATCCGTATATGTATCACGCAACAAAAAATCGCGATATACCGGTATACCGATAAAATCGCACATCCCTAGGTGGAATATATCACTGGGTTCATAGCTTTGTGAAAGTCAGTCAAAATTTTGTGATTTTAACATATATAATTTTATTGAAACATATTCAATGGGATTAGACACAAGTTATTTCAACTTAGATTGTTCTCTCCAATACAAACAAAATGACAAAAATATATGGGGGTTTTCACCACTTATGACACGTAAATATTATTTGAATATGCAAAAATTAGGATTCAATCAATACTTCTGCTATTTGCAACAACTGGGATAGACAGAAAAAGCTTTCAATCAAAACCTTTTTTTTTAAATGTGAAATAATCTTTTTTTTATTTATTTTCCTAATAACCTGTGCAATTTCTTAAGTAACAATTAAATATTGATGTGAAACTTTTTTAATTCATTTTTTTTTTCAATGTTATATTCAATAGAGTCAACAAAATCAAATTATTTTAATTGAATAATACAATCTCTGTAAATGGAAGATATATTTCAAATGTATACCGTTATACAAGCATGTAACACTGTGAGTAAATGTGGGAGTTATTTCCCTTTATACAGCATGTTAGTCAAGTGTAAACAAACTATTAACTAAACATGCTTTATGCAAGTAATTGTTGGCACTATGAGCTTAAATAAATTAACAATGAATAATGAAATTAATTTGAAACGTTATATACGTGCAGACTGTCAGACTGTAGTCTGCAGTAAGTCCACATCTGATCAGCGCGATGTAAACAATCGTCCATGAAGACTCGAAGAGTTCAACATGGCGGGAGTTTTAGCATTTCTGGGCGATATCGGAACTAAAATGTAACGAAATATATTCTCTTACTGCCACAGAAGAATGCGATAGAGTATTATTTCTCCACATTAAACTGTCATCATGATGAATAACTTTAAAAAGCTGATTTCTTTTAACAACCATGCATGTGCGAATAGTTTTACTAACCTTTACATCATAATAATAATTTAGACTGACCTTCGCTACAGTGCAAACTAATCGATAAATAGCACCTGATCAATTCTTACCTCCTTTAAATAGTCACACTTTAGAAAAGTTCAAAATGATTCGATTAACTTTAATTTCCAACTCAAACCACTTGTTTTCTTGTGCCTTGTAAACTTCGATATCCCAGACTGCATTATATTTGCTCAATACGCATGTGCGACTTCGTCAAGTTTAATGGCCGGCTTTGTTTAAAATGAGGCGGGATTCTTTATGACACAAATACATAATGTATTTAAATAAGATATGTTTAGTTTTGGGGGGTTATGAAGTTTATAGATAAATTTGTTAAGTTGCGATGAACAGTACTAAATAAATTACAATGTAGATATACACCACAGCATCTGTATAGGGCTATATATAGGCCTAGTTGAAAATTAACTTTTATATTTATTTTTTTGTGAAACTCCATTAATGTTCATTGTCTGCAGAGATCTATAGTTCTGAAGCTAACAGTTTTTATTTAATAATATACTGATCACTTATGATATATGGAACAGTGTAACAAGTTTGGGTAAATTAAAATTTTCAAATATCTAAATTTTGCAGGAAAATCTGCTTGAATCGGGGCCTCGATCCTCCCAGTTGCTTCACCAATCAAGCATATCAACAATTGTGATGACCACACACATTCCTCCCTCTTATATGTCTATATAATTTCCTTATAAAATTTACCAACACATTAAAATTCCTGTTGAAGATTTAATCCACCTGACACTGCCAGGGATTTGGCACCAAATTCCTTAATTCCAATAAGTGATAGCACCTATCTGGTTATATCACTAAATAGCAATAAATATCAAGAAAATATCTCCCATAGAATTTTATTGATTGTACCAACATAAAACTGGCAAATGTTGTCTGTAATATATCGATCTTAAAAAAGTATCATCAACCTTTTTGTCAAAAGCTTAATTGCCTAAATGTTTGAGAAATTGTTCATCCCGTACGTAGTGCATGCTTTTGCACCAACTGGAAAACATAAACTTCAAATGCAGACAATGATAATTATATTGTTATATTGATAAAGGAAATCGATGATAAAAAGTCGAATTTAGTCATTATGTTTCTTATAAAGTAAAGTGTGCCATGTACCTGTGTTTATATTTCAATGTGAAGAGGATAAATCAAATCAATGTAGGAATAAAAACAGATAAAATTTTGTACATACTGTATTTCAATTTCTTGAAATTTAATGCATAAAAATTTTAGAATCTCACGAACATTTTGGTAACTTTTTTGTAAAAATCTTTTGTTTTTGTCATATTTTGTATCACTTCATAAAAACAGGAAATTTCAATTTGACATGTTGAGATGCCCTCTCTGGAAACCAGACAGTAGAATTTAGTGTTTCTTAATTACATAAATTGTATAATATATAAAAATAATAGTATCCATCACCATGGTCACACATAATAATTTATATTGAGCAAAAAGTCTTTGTGAAAACACAAATTTTCATTGTTGTCCAGGTATAGAGAGACCCACAAAGTCACATCTACCACAAAATGTAAAATTTTACAATACGTAACTACTTGTAAGGATAAAATGCAGCAGACCAGACTGGGATACGAACCCAGACCCCCTGAAACTCCAGTTAGGTGCTCTACCAAGTGAACTATCTGGCCACCAGCGATCAAACCCTGCTGAGCACCACATACTCAACAATTCTTCATCTATGAAATCAAATCCCCACGAATCAATTTTTTTTTTTCAAACCAAAGAAATTTGACCCCATGAAAATATGTGATTTTATAGTGTTTGTATAATTTGCTATGAAGTGCGAAATATTGGTACATGTACCTTTCCATGTTATACAAAAGTAAATGTACAAGGGGGAGGGGGGACCTGTATTTTGAGATGGTTCCTAAAATACCTACAAGTGCTTCTCTAGGTATATTGTAGTTTTCACACAATAAAACCTAAGTTTGCTCCCTTATCTAAGTCTTGTCTTTAAAATGCACAAAAAACAAAACAAACATAAACATCATGGTATTTGAGATTATTCAATTTATTAAATATTCATCAATGGTTATATGTTCAACTCTATTGAGATTTATGTCAATAGTATTTTAATTTAACTAAACAGTTGAGATACATCTGTCATTAAAATTGTTCATTTTATTCTTTTTTTTAAATTATGAATTATGTTTTATTCTATTGAGTTTTACTTCAAAAACAGGAATTCAACAAAACTTTTAATTTTGCAGAAAAGACCTCCAGTTCTGAAAAATCAACTGATACTCACTGATACTCATTAGAACAGTGCTAAATCTTGAAACAATTAAAAATGCACTGTTGTAGAAGAGCATAAAATATGCATATTCTATTAATTTTACCATAATTAGGATTTAAATACACTTGCATGTAAATGTGTATTGCACTTATCACTCGTACATACAGGTACAGATATTTAACACTCATGCATGCATTCAGTGAAATATGGACATGAGAACATGGGGATTGTAATGTCCTCATACTGCCGTTACAGTAAGTAAGCATTATATCATACATCTGAATAAACATTATTTGTAAGGAGATAACATCATAATAGAATTTTGTATTTTTCTGCCCGAGGAACTCTGTTAATCACAAGACGGCCATCGTAACTCAGGGAGGCAAACACCCAGGGGTCAGCCGTGGACCAACAAGAGGCATAAACGCTATCCTCATGTTCCTCATAAGTCGCAATCACACCATCCTTTGGGGGCTCTGCTGACCTAATTATAAGATAAAAACAGCACCATTTTATACTGTATTATGTAAATACAAGCATGTAGCAATCTTTTCTTTTTCAATAGATCTGCTGGTTAGACACATAAATAGTTCTAATCTCTATATTTGTTATCAGTTGGCTTTTATAGACAAGTACACTTGGTGCCAAGAAACGTACATATCTTGCAATGCATAATCATGTGATCTGTACTGGTAAATATTGCAGAAAATAAATGGATATTTCATAAACTGATGAGGCAAATTACTTTTCTTCAGCATCTTCATCACTGTCCTCCTCATTTTCTGCGAGGTGACCGTAAGGTTCAGAGGAGAGGGACACCACACTGTGTAGGATGACCCGGCTGTCACTACTGGAACTCAATAACAGCTGGTCATGGAAGTGGTTGTACTTCACAGACCACACCCTGGCAAAAACATAGAGAAAACATCAATTACAGCTGGTCAGGGAAGTGGTTGTACTTCACAGACCACACCCTGACAAAAACATAGAGAAAACATTAATTACAGCTGGTCAGGGAAGTGGTTATACTTCACAGACCACACCCTGACAAAAACATAGAGAAAACATCAGTTACAGCTGGTCAGGGAAGTGGTTATACTTCACAGACCACACCCTGACAAAAACATAGAGAAAACATCAATTACAGCTGGTCAGGGAAGTGGTTGTACTTCACAGACCACACCCTGACAAAAACATAGAGAAAACATTAATTACAGCTGGTCAGGGAAGTGGTTATACTTCACAGACCACACCCTGACAAAAACATAGAGAAAACATCAATTACAGCTGGTCAGGGAAGTGGTTATACTTCACAGACCACACCCTGACAAAAACATAGAGAAAACATCAGTTACAGCTGGTCAGGGAAGTGGTTGTACTTCACAGACCACACCCTGGCAAAAACATAGAGAAAACATCAGTTACAGCTGGTCAGGGAAGTGGTTAGACTTCACAGACCACCATACATGTTAACTCTCCCGATTTAGGCGGGAGTCTACCGCTTTTTCACTCCATCTCCCGCCTACCGATTTAATTCAGAAATCTACCGCTTTTCTACAAAAGCTGCGTCTAAAGTATTTTTGGTTCGCTTGGGTATCCATTTTTGAAGCCACTCTCATAAAATCTCGCTAGATATCGCGTGATTTAATTCGGAATCATACAAACGCTTTTTTTGAACATAGATTTCAAGCACGAATTTGACAACGACAACAACACAAGACTACCAGTGATTACATTGGTTACGATAAATTAATCAACATCCTTGCCATGAAAAAGAAGAAACAACTTTTAAGAATTAGATGAAAACATTTGACATCGTCTTTAAAAGCACAGAAGCTCACAACTTTATCAATAAAGTCAATAGAAATCACTCGATTGACTAAGCCATGTGGCACATCTCTACTTTCGTTTTCGATCATCGCGGGAAATCTGAATTATATAACGAAAGATAGGAACTTGTTTTAGATCTAGATTAAACCATGTCATCATTTGTTTTGTTTAAAAACTGTATGCAGACCACACCCTGACAAAAACATAGGAGGAACATGAATTACAACTGGTCATGGAAGTGGTTGTACTTCACAGACCACAAACTGGCAAAAACTTAGGTAGCACATGCATAAAATTCAGGTGTTAGAAAGGAGAGAAAATGTATGCATATATCGTTGAGAGAGGGTACAGATACTTACCAATGTGAATGCTCAGAGAGGACTTTAAGAGGCTCTGTTGGGTTTCTTGTGTCCCAGAATTTTATCTTACAGTCATCACCACAACTCACTAAGTAATATTGTTTATTGGGGTTAAAGTCCATATCCCTCACTAACTGTCCATGTGCATTTTCTATGTTGTATACTTGTCTGTAAAAAAAGAAATTTGACTGTGATTATCAATTCCACACATTTAATAAAATTTCATTAA